GCTGCATAGTTTGTTAATTCAGGCCAGTTATTGAAGTCTGATTAGAGAATCGCGATGGAATCAATTAAAATCATTTTTATTTATTGCAACCCTTGGAGACGGTTATAGCATAAACATATTTCAGATTTTCAATTCATTGCTCTAATTGTTACTGAATGGAAATCTTTGATCCACGTCCAAACGTTCCATGCTTTTCCGACTATCCAACAAACCATCCTTGTCTGCTGAGGTGTATCAATTGTTAAAAGGTCTTTAATGCTTCTAAATATACATGTTTATCTGATATAAAGAGAATCAAAGAGTATTTTTTCAAATTAACTTTCATTGTTTTAACTTTTGATGTACCAGTTTAACACTGCAATTGATATTTTCTCTTCGTATGAAAATGGAAAACTTAGTTATGCAGGATAGTTGATTACTGATATTAAATGATTGTATTAAATAGTGTTAATATCTGCTATCTCCGGCGTTTAAGACCAATTGTGAATTCGGTTCGCTCTCCCAGGTATTCTACGTCTTCAGCACATTGCAAAGAATGCGCCCCGAAAAGGAATGACCCTGTACATCTGAGCAGTCGGGAAATTTATGAAATTGAGGTCAGAGGCCGTAGATTACACGCTAACCATGATTTTGCAGAAAATGGATAATTTACAAAATGTTCTAAGAAAATTTTCGACCAAGTCATATGCAAATAATGTACATTTAAGAATTGTCATGTAGTAGTTCTAATGGAATCGGGTCAGAATGATTACAAATATATTCCAACTCGTGGCTATCTTGAAGGTTCAGGATGAATTTTTTTTAGTTTATTTGTTTCAATGATTGACAAATGATTTAAAAAAAGCAAACCCACAAATGAAAATGGCGAAAATCACAGAGCCTGCTTAGAGCTAGGGAAAAATAACAAAAGTTTCAGAAAGTCGTATTTTTCGTCGTACAAACTAGCGTTTCTAATTGAGATTTTAAACAATTATTATTTTGAAGATAACTCTATTCAAAAAACAAACACTTTGAGTGAGTAAAAATTCTTTTATTGAATATAAAAAAAATTTTTTTGCCTTGTATAAATCCTCTTTTTTCCACATCCTACATATATTTGTTAAATTTAAACAATGTTTGTAAATTCCAGGCCCTGAAGATGATCTCAATAAAGATCGAAACGTTGGCACGATAAAGAAAATGTTTTTCTAAAACCTACATCACACCAGATCTCCGAATAATCTATTCAAAAACACAATTCGACCTAGAAATTGTACCAAGAAAGAGACCGATCATATTTCGTTAGAAGTAGTAAAAATCGTTTTTTTTTTGTTTTTTTTACGTTTAAAACATGTAAGTACGATTTGCGTCAAACACCGATATGCTCTAGAAGTTAAAATAGTCACACAACTTTCGTTTTGATTACTTTTCATGGATAAACTCAAAGCTAGACAATGATAATTGAAGGATAAATGAGATGTACAATTAATTATCTTAATAAATCCGTGTACAGTTAATAACAGTCACGACACATTTAGGTGCATTAAACATTGAACTGGAGCGTATTAACTCATAATTGAAAGAAAATTATAACAGAAGAGGGTCGTAGGCACACTTTTAAGTACATAATCCATCTTTGATGACAATCGCTTAAAGCATTTCAGTAAAGTTTCATTTATTTGACGATAATAATACCTGGCCTAAAATAAAAATTCTGGTATCATTAACGCATAAAATCGTTCTAACAATATTTAAATTGCGAAAAACATTCTAATAATCTGAAAAAAAAATACAAAAGCTACACAAAATACTTTCTTTTTGAAAATAAAATAACTGTCTCACAACTGTTCGTAAAATATTACTCTTAACTGTACGGTACATATGTGCTTGAAAATTGGCGATATTTTTTTTTTCTTTTACTTTAACCCTTCATTGCGATGAATATCGAGTCCTGTCGGTGAAGCACATTCTGGTGGACTGCCCTATTTATGATCTTCTTAGACATTTACATAGATTAGCCAATAATATCACAGACGTCTTCGATGATCGATCCAGTGTCAGGAAGAATTATTTCAGTTCCTTAAATCCTCCAACTTATCTCCGAACAATTAACACAAACGAAACCAATATATGATACTCCAAATAAAATAACAAGCTCAGTAAAAATATAATCGAAAAATCACTCTTGTTCATGATCTGATTTATCTGCCTCCATTTATGTGCCTTTTACATCAACTATAATTGATTTATGATAATTCGTTATTTAAAGTGAGGCAAGGAATCAAGAAAACACAGGTGTTTTGGCCGAAAAATAACAAAACTTTTATTTATTTTTGCGATGGCATTGATACTTAATATATCGATTTTTGTGATATAGTATAATTTTTTATCTTTCATTTACCAACTATATCAAATATATCAATTTTATTTGGCATAGGTTTTTTTTATTAGCATTACTCTTTGCGGTGGGTATCGATGTTCGATATATCGATGTTCTATGACATAAAATAGTGTATATTTTAACTTTCATTTACCAACTTTATCAAATATATTGATTTTATCTGACATAGTTTTTTTTAATGCTCGTTATATCGATTTTCTGTGAGAGTACAATGCATATTTAACTTTCATTTATCTGAATGTGGTGTATGTCGATACTCAACATAACAATAATAATTTCTCGAAGTCGTGAGAATCAGTCAAGAATGAAGTATTTTAGAAAAACGCGTTTTTCTTGTATCATAATGGTTTAAAATTAATATCAATGGTGTAAAATTTCTAAAAATTTAGAGAAACAAATACTCATAGCTGGCCAGTGAGTTATAATTAACAAAGCAGCACAACAAATCTATTTAGGTCGAGGTGCAGTAGGCCTTGTGGCCGCCTCTCTTATCCCTATCCCTATCCCTACCAGTCTGGAAATATCTCTTTGCTGGAGGTTAGCCCATTCTTCACGAAGAGTCCTTTCTTGATCGTGGAGTGTAACAGAAAAGGATGGACGTGCGTTTTTTCGTTTTTGGAGGTTATCCCATAAATGTTCGATGGGGTTCAAGTCTGGAGAACGGGCTGGCCAGGCTTAGACCCTGATGTTGTGCTGTGGAAAGTACGTTTGTACTTTGCGAGCGATATGTGGACATGTGCATTATGTGCATTAGAATAGGATTTTCGCTGATTTCATCGAGGATAGACAACGCATAATGTTCCAAAATTTCATCCATATAGCCAGTGGCCGTCAAAGACACACCACGACCAACAACCGTGTGCGACTGTCCATTGAAATTACCGCTCACACCATCACTGAACTACATTGCAAAGGTTGGCTCTGGGAAAAATTACAAGTTTCGTGCCTTTCATTTCTGTAGAAAGTACAGCAGACCAATGGCTGTGTTCTCGAGCAAATGCAAGCCGTGCAACTTTGTGTGTTCTGGACAATTCTAGTCCTCTTACGGGGCAAAAAGCCATCAGTCCATACTGATTTAATCTCCTTCGAGCAGTGTGTTCAGAAATTTTGACACCTCGAACTTCCTGGAGCTGAAGAATCGCTTGAACAACAGTAAGATGTCAGTTTCGCAAAATCCTCAAAGTCAAAAAATGGACATCCTGTGGTTCTGTTACCAATGGCGTCCAGAACCGGGCCTTGTGATACTGGTAGGACCCAGTTTCTCGAAAATGTCTAACGGTGTCTCGCTGTGTTTCGTAGGGAACTACGATGGCATACGTCCATCAGCATTAAGTGCCATACCACGAGCAACATCCTCAGCTCTAAGTGGCATTTTTAAGTTTAAAATTAAGCAAACAAAGATGAAAAAACGGTGTATTGCTTCAGAATTCAAATAAAACTGAATAAACATTTTAAATTCCGTAATAATTAAACTTTGAAAAAGCCTTTAACCTTGTTTTGAAGGATTAAGTGTGTTACGTCTAATTGATATTCCCAATTTAAAACATAGCATAAACAAATATTTATAGATAAAAACAATGAGACAAATTAAGGCAGAATTTTCTTTTATAGAGAAAATGAAAAAAAAATCAGTTGGGTGAATTTTTTCCCTGTCAGTGTATTAGGTACGCAGAACAAAGTCAGCCTCTGCTGTGCCCCAAGACTATGGGAGTAGAAGGCAACGAGAAATCGGACACCCTTGCAACAAAAGGGGCTTCTATACCGCTGATAGGACTAAAACCCTTCTGCGCCATAGGAACCCACACTATCAATGAGTACCTCAGACAGAAGAATAAAAAGAAAATGAGGGAACAATGGAATTCACTTATTGGACACAAACAATACAAGAACAACCTAATAAACTTCGGAAGTAAAGAAGGACAGAATGTATCAAAGGAAGCAGGAAAAACTGCGAATCCTAACTGGACTCTTAACACTGCAAATTAAATGGACATTTAAAGAAAATTGGCACATGGAACTTCTGCAAAGAAGCAGAGGAGACACCAACACACCTATTAACAAACTGTGGTGCTACACTTGCCCGCAGGATGAACTGTTTGTTCTTTTGGAACGTACAATGGTGACCGTAGCAGAAATTCCACAACTGAAAGGCCTACTAATCAAGTTCCTTGATGAAACAGGACTCACCGGTGTGCTAGACACCGAACGGGGGATACATAGCTCTTAAAGGGCGCAGTCCCGATTAATACATCTACATCTAACATAAACGAAACACCAGAGCATATTATTATGAACTGCCCTAACATAGTAAGCATAGGAAAAACTCGTTCGAAAAAGTGACATGCTTTTTGAAATTTAATTATGTCCAGATACTAAGCCTAGAAGATATAGAAATATATAAATTTATAAAAGAGGCAAAAATTAAATTTTAAAAGCAACGAATGAATTGGGATTAAGGGATGGTTGCGTATGGGGACTTCCCGCTGTCGCCCGCTGGTCGGCTGGGGTGGCAGCGCCAAAAAAATAAAATTAAAATAAAGAAAAAATACAACATACACTGCCTTGTTGTGATAAAACGTAGACAAATGTTTTTTTTTTAAACATCTATTTTTCGAACGTACTTACATTAAAAAAATGCATCAACGGATGATCACAATTTAGAATAAAAATACCCAGTTAATATTTTTGTTTAGATATACATGACAATGTTGTAGCCGTGTGAAATAGGTCGTAATTGTTGTCTATCGCACTATTTCCATCGATCGTACAAGAAACAATTGAAAATGATGGCTTTGAAGCTGTGTAACAACTGGAAGCTAAGATCGATTTGGAATCTAAAGTCAATCAGGGCGAAGGTTACGAATTCGAAAAACAACGACAACAGAATGAGCCTCGAGGAAATCGTTCCGGCGGCAAAGAAGGCGAAGTTGGCCAACGGCGAAGAGGTTGAGAACAAACAGGAAAATATCCGCGACTTGTCCAAGTTCGTATTCAAAAGGATTCTTTCAGACTTCGGCCAGCGGAAGGTGATCAGCGTGGAAGGGACGTTTTCCGACCGGGATGGAAAAGCGATTTTGTGGCTCGAGAAGACCCCTTTCAGCGAAGAGAACGTCAAGTCCCTTTTGACGGAAAATTCCGTCCTGAAAAGACTTTTCATCAACGATATCTACGGCAGCTACTCGTGCTTCGCCGACCCGACTTTCAACGGTACACTCGTCTCACCGCGCCTCCCCGACAACTCTTCCTCAATCCTCATTGACCCTTTTTTATTGCAGAGATAAAGACGACCGTAATCCACCCGGCCACTGATCAGCACATCGCTAAATTTTTGGAAAAACCGAAACACCTCATTGAGGAAACATCGGATTATTATCAAACCATCACTAGACCTTTTCTAGAAAAAGAACAACTCAGCGTTCAGGTAACTCGATTTGATCTAATCATAATGCGTAATCAATAAGACAGATCAATTTTTATGAGTATTAGTGCTATACTCAATAGCATTATATCAGTGTACTTTTGGAACTCGTAAATTAACTGCTCAAAAATGAATAGGGTTATTTGTAATTTTTCTTTATTCTATTACTTAACTTAACCGATATATTCTTCTTAGTTGGATAAAACAAACTAGAAAATACAAACCAAAAACAAACAAATGTTAATCCTCAATTTTAATAACGGTAAGCATAGTATTGTGAGAATAGGTCACCAGCAAGTGGATGTCGCAGAGGCAGTTGGCGTTTCTCAGAGTGTTGCCTCCTGGGGTTTAGCCTGATTGTTCTCCCTTCAGTGCAATTTGGAGGGAGCGGTGTAATGGTATGGGCTGGGATTTACACTGGAGGACGAACTGGACTCCATATTGTTGAAGGCAGTAAGTAAATACAACAAAATTGGCAATGTCCCTATTCATTTTTGAGCAGTTAAGTTAGAAATGATAGTTGTACTCACAAACCGTTTTCTTTAGTTACCTGGATTTTAAGAATTTAAATGCTTCAAAACCAAATAATAGCCAAATCCAGTTGTGAGTAGATCTATCCTTTCCAGAATACAATGCAACACAGAGGCAAAACTTAAAGCATATGCATCAGTCGAACCATGAGTAGTTGTCAAGCCTTGGTTCTTGACTCTTAATGTACCTAGAAGTACATGTACTAACAGCACTAATCAGACTACGATTGGGCCATAATAGTCTACCCCAGCGGTTCCAAAACCTTTTGGTTGTTGTTGTTGGATTGTTGTTGTTGTTTCCCAGCGCCACAAGTCAAAATGACGGTCTGTCTCAGTGGGAACTGATTATTTGGAGGTCGTGTGATGCGGTCTGATGTGACGTAGGATTTAGAAAACATTTTCTTTATTACGCCAATGTTTCGATCTTTATTAAGATCATCTTCAGGGATCAAAGTGTTTTCCATTTAGATGTGTCATTCTTGTATGTCTTGGCACTCACAACAGGAAACATTGGCACGATAAAGAAAATGTTTTTCTAAAACCTATGTCACACTAGACTGCATCTCACGAGCTCCAAATAATCTTGATGTTAATAGTAGTAACTAATTTTCAATTTAGAAAAGCATTAATAACCTTTTATTTTGTCTGCAATATTATTTAATAAATAATTAAAACAATTGATTTTCCACAATTGATTATTTAGTTTAACATTAAATTGATTATCTTTTATCCACAATAGTTGCAGGTAATTAGGAGCTATTGTTGTCAAAATAAACAGTAAATATTCAAGGATAATATTAACTAAATAATTCCCCGAGAAACACTAGAATGCAAAAACCTGAACAGGTTGATTGTAGGGCAAACATTTATCAATTGGCAGAATGCTTCATAATGTTACACAGCCCAGATTGGTCTAGTTTTTCTGGTATAAGCAGTTAGTCACGCTGGTGTAGGAGGTTTGTAAAATTTAAAGAAGGAACTCTATTCTGAAATACTTAATAACATTGATGAAGCGACAAGGGCTTTTCATGTTGGTAGAAATTGAAATGGCAGATATATTGATAGAAGTGATATGTCAGAATAATTTATCATATGTTTTTAGACCAGAATTCAGGGATCTATGGAATTGTGTACCTTGATGATTTTTAGGGTTTTTCTTCCTATTCCCCCTCATTTGTATTTTTGCATCTTCAATACATTGGTGTTTCACAGATAGGTTGTATACAATCATTTGTATCTCTGTTAACTGCAAAACTAAAAGGTCTCCACTACAAAATAATGCTCTAATCCTTGAGTTTTTACATAACTTAACATTTACATATTTTGGTTGTTTGCAATTATCCTGGTCTGCCTATACTTTTGTCGCCTTTTTTTGTGTCAGAAATAACACAGAACAACCACTGAAACAGAATTCAAGAATTCAACCTTAGATAATCAAACACAACACTTTTAATAAATTAATTCTATTAATTTACATATGTATAAAATATAAGAACAAAGGCAAAAAAAAATTGTATTTTCTAAAATACAATATAGCATTGTAGGTTCAACAGAATTTTTTTTAACAAAAGCATTACAAACGTGTTAAGAGTTTCTGAATAAGACTTCTGTTCGAGATCAACTTTATTGTGTGTCACCTGTACAAAACAGATTGTAAGAAATATTTTCAGCACTGAAAACATTCATCATACTGTAGAAAACTTCTTATTTTTTATACAGTACAATTTTATCTTTTAACCAGCATCTTGCATTGAGTGAGATGTATTTTTGTAAAACCACTGAAGATGGGGAGAAAAGATGGACCAGGATGATCAGTTGACCTATAGTTAAATAAAATTTAGCCACTTAAAAGTTCGGCATTTAATTCAAACCTTTTAGACTTTATTAAAAAGCTGAATTATTTATCAAATATGTTCAAGTGACGATTAAGATCTTGTAACTTTATCATCCTGATCTGGTCTTTTTTACATGTTTTGTATGTCACATGAGCATTTTGTCATCTGCAAAGTATGTTCTGTGTTCTATTTTACCTTTTATAAGTTTGTGAAAAAGACGCAGACTGAATTATGTTTCAACTCACATTTACAATACTCTGGTGTTGAGCTGTTTCCAATTTTTTTTTTTTCACTTGCCTGTGCTGTTTTGACATGTTTCGGTTTTAGATTATCTTAAATGATGAGTCTGTCCTTAGAGTGAAGTATGTGTATGAGTCCTGTTCACTTGCTGAGGCAAGATGCTAACGTGTGAGAGGACTTCCTATGCATTTAAAAGGCATCCCCCTGTTCAGGCCACAAAACATTTTGAAGTATAAAAGTCAATGTGATAGGTGGGCCAACATGATACAGAAAAAAAATTGCAGGATCATCACCCTGTAGGCCCCATGATTTGTATCAAAATTTACAATCCTTTTTTTAGAATCAAATCAAAATTGGGATTGGCAATAAATTTGTGATTTTCTATAAACCTAAAAAAAATGTATGTGGTAATAAATATTATTTTATTTTCAGTGGGTTTATAATATATTAGAACACAAGAAAGAAAAGGAAAGAATAGTTTTTGAGGATGATAATAAGGAGACTGGTTTCATTCTAATACCAGATTTGAAGTGGAATGCCAAGCAGACAGAAGACCTTTACCTTCTGGCACTAGTGCACCCTCGTGGTTTAAAATCATTACGTGATCTCACCAAGGACCATTTGCCACTCCTTAAAAACATTCTTAACAAAGGAAGGGTAATATTTATTTGTCCACTTTATGTCTACTTCCTCTTAAACTGATTTGGTTATTCTTGTAATTTGATCATCTCTGTATATCCTAATGTGCATATTCAGTGAAACTCAACCCTTTATAACAAACACGCAAAAAGTCCATAATCGATAGATAACTGTGCAGGGGGGGTGTATACATATATTTGTTTTTCATTCTTATACGTTCGCCATGGCAAATCATTTTTAATTTTCCTTATCTTTATAAAACTCAAGAATCCAAAAAAGCTCTTTTAATTTTACTCAAGTCAAATGGAGCTGAGAAACACAAAATACAGTTGAGACTTGAATGTGAAGATGCTTTTGGACAATAACAGTCCAAATAAATAGGGTGGCAATCATAATTTCTCCCAGTCAGAGACTGAGTTAGAGCACCGGGGCAAGCGTTTGATTTCTTTGTAAAACAGAAGCTTTCGATGAAAAATGGGAAGCAAAAAAGCCGTCAAATACCTGAACAATTTATTCCTCCCTCAAAAAGAAACTTTCAAAGTACAAATAATGTGAAGAAAATGTATTTGTAGTTGCCAAAAATGGAGTACCCAAGCAATGAACTCAGAACATGGAATATGAAGGAGAATGGCAATTTAAAAAAAAAAAAATTAAAAATTAAAAAAAAAAGACAAAGAAAAGTATACAAAGCAGTATCAAAACATAAAATTTAAACAAAACCGTTTTTGAACTGACATTGGGTCTGTCTTCACTTGCGGCTTTGTTGAGCTACTCATACGCAACGACAGTTCAATGTGATCATTTCTAAAATACTTTTTATAGCCTACCTTCCTAAATTGTTTTTGGCATTAAAAAAAATTAAAGTTTAAATTTTTTTTTTTTCAAAAAAAGATATAATGTATTTTTACTGTTTACATCTGTTTAGAGGGGGTGAATTACTCTGTTATGGAGGGGTTTAAAATGTAATAGCAATCCCACCTTTCTTACTGGTGAATAATTATCCATTCAGAGGGATTTTTCTGTATATTTTTACAAATAAATATACGTTATTTGTACTGCATTTGTGTAACTAATAAGTGGGCGAGGGTGAAAAACAACTGCCAAGTGGGTGGGCAATTTAGCTTCCTCACATTTTGAGCAATCAATCATACGCGCATATGTAAATCCATTTGTAATAAAAATTCATAGAGGATCATCTAGAAAACAACCCTCATAATCCCTGAAAATTGCCTAAGAATCCGAAAAATGGTCTCGGAGATATAGCTATGTATGCCGCACATGTGCAAGCAATATCTTTTATACAATTGTGATGAAATTCACAGGGGACTATCTAGAAACCAACCTAAGCAATCTCTGAAAATTTCATAAAATTGGTCTCATGGTTTAAGAGTTTTGCCAGTTACAAGAATTTGACCACAGGCAGACAAACACAGAATCAAATTTGTCCTGAAAGGTCTGAAACACAAAATGAGAGTAGGAATTTTTATTTTGGAAGACGCAAATTTTTTTGACTTCCTGCACCAAGGCTTCCCTACCTTTGGTAGTTTGGAAGCAAAAGATCAAATTACAAGTTTATTACCAAGTGTACAATTAAAACTATACAATTTTCCCATTGGATGCAATACAGCATTTGTATTAATACATAAAATATATGTTTTAGAAAGCAATATTTGAGAAATACAAGATACCTCCATCCCAGTTAAGAGTTTATATCCATTATCAACCATCATTTTACCATTTGCACGTTCATTTTAACTATTTGTCGTTTGATGCACCAGGTAATTTTATACAAATAAACTTTTGCTATTTATTTTATTAATATGTATATTTTATTTTCAGGGATATTATGTGAAAAGTCGCATCTGCTTTCATCTGTGATAAACAACATTGAACTTCGAAGTGATTATTATCAAAAGGCGACTTTATCTTTTGTTGTTAAAGAGGGTGAAAACCTTGCAACCGAATATTTGAATAGAGGTATTTTGTTAGGTGATTTGATTTTAAAAAAAGATAGAAATTATTTATTGGATTTTTAGGTATTATTAAAAAAATAGAACCTCCGGTTCAAAATCGTAATTAAGATGGAAGAGCCAGAGCAAAGCGTTTTAGTGGAGTGCAGGCCTCTACTCCGGGTCTGCCATTTTTTTATCAAACACCGTTTTTACCCGAAAGACACTAGTGTAATAGTCAACGAAAATGAGGTGCGGATTGTGACAGATTCTCTGGATTTAGAAATTCTAATGCCCGAATCTGTAAAAATGTTGAAAGATAGTTTGTCCGGTTTGTGCTTCAATGAAGATTCTCTTTTGTTCAGAACACAGACAGTTCCGCCAAAGAATCAAGGATCGTTCAAAGCGGAGCTGTTAACATTGAAAAATGAAAAGTGTAAATTTCAAATATACAAACCTAAAGTCAATGTGGGTGAAGAGACGCATATATTTTGTGGATTTTGTTCATATCAACTTACAAAAAAGATTGTTAAGTTTTCAAAAATTTTACCCCTACCTGAAACATTTGACTCTGGTGATTTCTTTTGCCATGGTAAAATTGATGTAAGTCTCGACCCAAAAGTAGACAATCTGTTTTATGGATCGTACTATTACAACATCCACCCATCTATAATAATATTTGATGATACAATATATGATCTAATCGTTTGCAAAGGCTGTATGTCTTGGCTTGGAAACATCGAAGAAAAAAATGCTCAGCTTTGGAATTCTACTAGTTATTTTTCAAAGGCCACAATCGATAAAAGGGAAAACACAGCTTTAGATGATTTCTTACAAATAATCAAGAAAGCAACAAATGAATTTATGCCAAACAACAAACTTATCTTGTACTGCGACATAGGCAACAATGAAAGGCATTACCTGCTACTGTGGATTATGGACAAAAAATTATCCCTTTTGTCTAGTCGTGACGACCTGCTGAACGGGATGGTGACATTAAAAGAGCATAAAATGACAAAACTACTCTATTCATATCACACGAGTAAATCAGAGACAGTTTTGGAATGGGTCAATTTGACAAACACCAATGGGCTTAAAGTAAGCAAAGCTATGTTGGCCAAAGGCGTTGAACACCTCAAAGAAATGTCTAATCAAATACCAGAAGATTTCCGCACCTCACAAAACATGAATATATCATTCCTTACAACTTCAGAATAAATTGTTTTTCCACATTGCTGTTTGTTCCTATTTTGTAAATTAAAATGTTATTCTCATTTTTGATGTTTAATTTTAACATTTGAGCTAATTTCTTATATTTACATTTCCCTCTTCACAACCCAATAATAATTTCGTTTCCTGTAGTTTGGCCTGTCAGATGGCTTCACTGCATCAGTCAATTTTCATTCCCAACCACAACATAAAATTCTGCATTCTTCCTTCTCAGTAGGGTTTGGCATTCAGACATGCTTTAAATATTTTGCTTCCTACCCACTCCTTATTACCTTAAACCTGAAATCCTATCTAACCAACCACTGCTCCAGTGAGATGCTGCTACAAGTTCTCGAAGTGAGGTACAATCTGGCTCCCACAAGGGAGTATTCTTAGAACTGCTGTCTTACCTATACAAACCAAAACCATCATCACTATATACTCGGACAATACAACAATTTTGTCCTCTAACTTGAATCCTCCAACATCCAAGAACACCTTGAGCTTACTGAAGACTGGTGCAAAAAGTGGAGAACAAGGCTGAATGAAGAAAAATGTACTACTGTGTTTACATTGACAAGTCTTGCCCTCCACTGTACATTATCAACACAGAAATATCGATTTTCATTTCGGTCAAATAGTAGGGTTATACCTAAATTGCAGGCAAAGTTAGAATTGCTACTTAAGACTAAAACAACTGACAATTGACTGTCAGAAGTCCACTAACCTAGTTGGCTTCAAACTTCAGACATGCAGGATTCGCCAAAGCCCGACTAGTACGGATGGATGCTTGGTTACTAGCCAAGCAATAATAGTACTCGCCTTGCTCGACTGGTTGTCCGCAAAGTGCACAAATATTTGCTGTTTCCACACAAACTGGGTGGTTGTACAAACCCGCATATGTATATACATAGGCACACTATTTGGCGAATGAATGCCAAACCGAGCATCTCGACACGGCAAATATTAGCATTAAGAGAATCCCACATGTCTGGAGCCATCTTTATACAAGATTTTCTGCAACCACATTGGACAACTGAGCTGAACTCTGGGGTGTGCCAAGATATCTAGCACATCCCATCAAAAGTTCTGGCAAATTATCAAAGCTCCTTACTACATCATTAAGCTCACTATTCATGAACTTCAAAATTCTTTTCTTTCCAATTTCTCAACCCATTCTAACCTACTGCTCAAGCCCTCATGCATTCACAAACAGAACTGACGCCTTAATCGATGATGGCCTCGAGACCTTGACGTTTTACTGAATAAGACAATTGTGCATCAGTATCACTTGTCTGCGTCTTCTCAATAATTCTTTTTAAATTCACCCCTTACACTATGCTCTTCAAAAATCCTAAGATCACCTCAGGAAGGGAGGGCAAGGGTCACTGACAAGTGATTTCCATTTTTTTCAACTGAAAGTGATTTTGTTATTTATTAACCCCTCATAATTTGCTTTTCTGAGTATGTTTGGTTATTCTAATTAATTATTTACCCATTTTCATATGATTATGTAATATAAAGGAAAAATATTTTACAAAGTTGAAACAATTTTTATTCAACTACACACCCAAACTGAACAAACATTCCACAGGATGCCTAATTCATTCACTTAGCATTGCCAGGGACACGTTGCATCATATAATTTGTAAGACTGGAAAAACATAATTTAAAAAAAAAAAATTATGCTACTTTTAAGTACCACAGGGAGTGCTAATTTACGTGATAATTGGGTTCCACCATGAACAGCCAAAATGCCAGGCATAAAACAGACGTGTTCATCCCTTAATCCCCTATTAATTCATACAAAACCGGCATCATCTTCACTCATGGTTTTAACTACTTCAGAGAGGAATTATTGGCATTAACTCCCTGGTTTCTCATTGCATGCGTCTTCCACCAGGTGCAGTGCTGACTGTGAAAAAACATACTGTGATCACATTTGTATTATGTACTAATAAATATAGACTACACATAAAATAATTTTCGCTTAATATTATTATATTATTAATTAATAAAATAATATTATAAAATAATTCTTACTGTTTTTTGTTCTCAATTTATCCCGATGTTAAAAATTGGACAAGTAACCAGCCATTAGACATAATTTTAGATTAAATTACCTGCCACCTAATGATAAAATACGGAAGTAAAGGGATATACAGAACAAATATTTATTGAACTAAACAAAAATCTATTTGTTTTAAAATTTACATTTACAATTAACTTGTACTATTTTGTCATAAATAAAAAATACTATAATCAATCAATAAATTTTAATTCAATAGCTTCACACCTTCAACTAAATTGTAAAAATTAATTTATTTAAAAAAAATACATATTCTGTAAGTATTATTTGAATTATTTTTTTTAACTGCACAAAGTCAATCTTAAAATTACATTTATAAATCATTTTATACATATTTTGCCTATAAGAAAATATAGGCAAAAAATTGTCATACCTACAAATTACATTGAGTGAAAATGTAAAGTGTTTGCATACATTTGTGGAATGTCATTTTTTTTTTTTTTTTATTTAGAAGGGGGTGGTTGGGAGGTGTTGGTTGGTCCTGTATTTGGATACCAGTTCGGCCACGCTTGCTGATACGCGCCGAATGTGTTACCTTCACTGTTCTAAAAACCATCGATAAAAATATAGAATATTTAGTGCAAAAACAATTTTATCTAATCTCAAATTTATGGTTTTACCTGCCAATTCTGATTGTAACCGGGGTAACCATACTGCTGCCAATTGCCATATCCACCTGGCTGGTTGTAACCCTGTTGCTGGTTGTATCCACCCTGTTGACCGTACCCACCACCTGTACCTCCTTGGCTGAAGCCTAAGTAACAAAAATGATTTTTTTAGCTTTTTATAACTAGATTATTCGTATTATAGTACTTTTATTATACCACCTGCAGTATAAAATAAACTTTTATATTTAAACAAACAACCTACTTTCTAAAAAGACCTGATGAAAATACTATAAAAATGAAAATGTACGGCTCATATAGGATCTGTCTCGTAGAAGAGGGATCACCCTTGCCTGATTAAGAATACGTGAGTGAGGTTGATACAAGGTAAACTTACTTTTAGGCCAAAGCCCCACTTATGTGTTCAGGATAGGGAAAGATTGCTCAAGTGTCACACTTAATTGAAGAGTGCCATTCATATGCTCCATACAGAGCATGTAGGTTGTAGAGGAATGCCATCCCAATATGAGAATATGTGGACATGGAAGTATTTGAGTCCCTTGTTCTGATTTTTCCAGGTAACAGGGCTGTTTTATTGTATACAGTACAGATAGTATCTTGTTTTGAGTTACATTTTGTATATATTAGTGGTAATCATTATTTGTGTTAGTTGATAATGTTTGTTGAGTTGAAAATGATTTGTAAGTTATTTTTTTAAATAAAGTAAAAAATTTGTAAGTTAAGGGTCGGAACTTTAACTTACGGTGATGAACGCCACATCAATGCCTTGCCCCCTTTTTTTAAGGATTAAAACCAAAAAGACCTGAGCCCCTTTCTTAGCTTTTTAAAAAAGCCCATTTGTAAGTATGTTGGGTTCGAATTCAGGGAGGCCTCCTTCACCTTCAGTGATGAGTGCAGTGACAACGCCTAAACCATTGTGGCCACTGACACCCCAACAGCCATATTTTTATAAACAGGTTAAAGGGGCTCAACACGTCACATACCCAAAGCGTCCTGTCGACCCTCAATTAGATGTTATGTGAAAGATGATGGAGGAATATTGAGTACTCCACCACCCTGAATGAATGGTACGTTTTTAAGAGTCAGGTATATTAATGGGTTTCGATATGGAGACTGCGGTAGGAGTTAAAATGAACTAGCTGTTGATTGCCCTTGGACCCCAACCTTGGTGGCTGGTTGGACGATAAGGGACTAAGTTCTGAGATTACCAATCAATATTTATATTATAAGTGGGGTGGATAATTCTCGATGCCTGCCAATTAGGTTTACTACAGTGGTAATTTACAGAGGGCTGCGAGAAGTGATAGATCAGCATTGTACAGAATATGTATGCATATGCAATGTGTGTGCAGAATTGAGTTTATATAAATCCGTAAAATAAGGTTGCTTTTGCTATCTATTTGTTTTTTAAAATTTTTACTTTATATCTTTTTAAAAAAATATATTCCGTCAACCGCAAAAAAAAACAATTATTGGCAAATTCTTTGATAAAAGTGGTATTTACATAATTGCTGACCTTTAAATGGCTGTTGGTAGTTGCCCCACTGACCCCAATTTTGCTGTTGACCTGAGCTATTCCAAGCCTGTGGCCCGCCAGACTGTGATGACTGTGGTTGGTACTGGCCACCACCACTAGCCCATTGCCCTTGGGCATTATTGGCTGTGGTGACTGTGCCACCAGTGGAGCCCATACTGCTGTTACCTGTTGACTGCCCACCTCTTGGCTGTAAAAAAAATAAGTAAACAATTATACATAAATACATGTAATTAATAAAATTAGTCAAATCCAAGTAAACATTCATATTTTTTATTAAACTACATATTACATAAAGAAAAGAAAAAGTTACCAACCATGTTATTCACCTTTGGTTTTCCTCTTTGGTTGTCCCTGGAATCCCTGAAACTGTTCCCTCCTTGACGGGCAGGAGTGTTAGGACCCCTGTTATTCCTGTCGTAAGTCCCACCCCTTGGAGGACGTTCGAAATCTCTATGACCCCTACCACCCATGCTTCCAGCTCCTCTCCATCCGCCTCCTCTATCGCCACCTTGCCGATAGCCTCCTCCAGAGTGGTTCCTGTGAACAGGACAAAAAATCCAGAGTTAATTTTGACAACTTATTCTTGGAAATGTTTAACTTTACCTGTTGTCCCTCCATCTGTCAGGCCCTCCTCCTCTGGGCGCCCAGTTCCCACCTCGTGGGCCTCCTCTGTCTCCCATACCTCCGCCGCCTCCTAAAAAAAAAGAAGCATAAATTATCAAAATCTTACAATATTAAGTTTTGCTAACATACTCCTGAATCCTCCAGGTGTATGTGGTCCAGGTCCACCTCCTCTTCTGTAATCATGTCTCTGATTTTGATGGTATTCCTGTCTGAACTTTTTGACTGGAGGTCCACCTCCTTGGCCTCCCGGACCCTTCCTTGTGTATCCTTTAGCCGCAGCCTCCTTGTTGAATTTGTGGATCATTTCCTTTGCTTCATTTTCTTGAAGATCGGTATATATTACCTCTTGGAAAAGAGACTTATCGGGAAGTGAGAAGTTTGCTGGAAAATATAACCCAATGCCGTACAATCCTCCAACTGATTATGCTCTCAAAACTTTTAATTAGAAATGATAATAGGATAAACTGTTTCGATATGTGATCAAACCTAAAATTTTGTGAATATTCCACAATATGGTATGAAATTTCATGCAAAAAGTCTTTCTTCATTTTTGTTAAGAGGAAAAGTATAAAGATTGGAATTTTTGGCATGCAATGATGAATTTTGAAGGTGAAATAAAAAGCAAAAGGAGAAAAGGTGTTATAATCATAATAAATATCAGAACTGAATAAAATATTTAAGAGAATATTTCCCTTTCCGTTGTTACCTTTCATTTCCAGTACCGCACTCTCGGGCACATCTTTCTTTTCTTCTTTTTCCATCATTTGTAAGCGAGCTTTGAAATCTTCCTCAGTAGGCACAATTATGACCGCCTTCCGGATGAAACCCTCAAAATTGCGCATTTTGCGCCTTTGTGCAGCCGGATATACATTTGTCTGTGTACGTAAGACATTACGTGAAATACTTTCATTAATCAATTTATCGTGATTTTTTCCTCATTTTTGATTGTTTTTAATAGCCAAATTCATGGCTGCTTATCAATACTTATCAACTAAATACTCACCTAAACAAGATGTCTCTTAATGTAAATTACAAACTATTTCATTATACTATTAAACTAAACAGAATCATAAGTTATTACAGTGTTTGTGATATAAAATTAGCTTAAGTATTAGCACATAACTATTAAATCAATATTAATCAACACTGAAGAATAACAAATACAATGTGTAGAATCCTCCTCCTTTCTTCAATATTTCCTTCAAGGAAATTATTCAAATTCTTCACTTACATTCCATTATTTCTACTTAATAATACTTGCTAACCGTTCTTTCATAATTCCTAGCTCTTCTCCGCAGGCTTGGGTAAATCCTTGGCTAATTTTCATAGGTGGCTTGTAAAATAAAAAGTTTGCTATACTTAAGCAAGTAGAAGAACTTCAATTAAGGCCAAGACCTCACTCCAGGAAATATCTCCTTGAATCGATTTCATTTGTCACTTTCGTTTAAAAAAAAAAAATCTTAAAATTAGCTTAAATTTTAACCTGTTGCCAGAAAGTACTGAGCAACCAAAAAAATAATAATAAGTAAATAAAAAGTTCTACAGTTGTTTTGCTTTAATGAATAATTCTTCTTGAATTAAAACTTTAAACTTAAACTGATGATTTGAGTGATTTGAAAAATCTTAGTATTTATTCCTTAATCTTAAAACTCACCTGGATATTCTTACCGGCAAGGCTTTTGCAAGCCTTTTCCTTCCCTTCCATGTCACCAAAGACTTGCAATAAATTAAATATTATACTCACAACTTTATCTCCTTAATGTTTAAGCCTCCTGAAAATTCGACTTACCAAAACTGTATAAACCTAATTCAAGTAGCTTAACAAACCAAATAGTAATAAGAGTAAAGGTTAATATTTCAATTTTAAATTACAAAAAAGGAAAAATTCAAATATTGTTGTTATTAAAAATTAAACAACTCCAATGATTGTTTTAATAAAAATATTAACCTTTAACATTACATATAACCATACTTTAATATAGGAGCCTTGATAAATACCTAAACAGTGTCTCTCACATAAATATACAACTAATTGACCTTAAAAGCTATTTTCAATACAATTCTAACATAACAAAAATTCTTACACTTTTTACTAGCAAAAATTTCAAATTTACCATAGGCGAGTAATTTACAAAAATGAATTTCTGTGTAATTTAAATATGTTAGACCCAATCTTGAATTGATTATTTCAGAATTAAAACATCTATTTATGTATTAAAAAACTATAGTTCTACTCACTGTTTTTGGCAAAAATTCACATAGCAGGTCGTAACTATTTCTTTGTAATAATTATTTCTAGAATTTTCATAAACAATAATCAAGTATATTTTTGGTTTTTAAGATTTTGACTGATTCTTACATATAATAATCACTGAATTTGATCCTAATAAAAATATTAATTGTTCCTTGTTGGTTACTGTATAAAATATAAATTTTATTTCACAAATAATGCACAACAATTAGTACTTGTTGCTTCAAAATAATCTCTCTTCTCTTTTTGTCTTCTAATTTTTAATCAGACCTTTCTTTGGCCTTTTTGCTCTTGTACAATTTACAGTTAATTTACTGTTTAATGATAAAANGCACCATTTCATTTTCGTATTTATACAGGGTATTTTGTCTGGGGGTTCAGTATTTGAGATGGGGCCGGGGGCCTCCATCATGAAGGATGAGCTAATAAAATAAAACGAAAACGAAGTAGTAATATGATCAGAGTTGAGAAAATAAAAATTATTTGCAGTATATAAAGGAACTGAATATAACACTTCTTGAAATACAAGGAGGATGGGATCAAGTAGATAACGCTCCGATGTTTACTCTTCAGAGGATAAACAACGACTGAAAAGTAAAGTTTATACTTCATCATGATAAAAAAATTAATTCACTGTTATTAGTTTTCAAAACAATGTTAAAAATTGTCTTATTAAAATAATTATTACAATTTAAAAAATAAACAAAGAAAACATTTATATTTAGGTAGTTAAGTAGTAAAAGTACTTATGAGCATTTTTAATTTTAAAGAGTTTGTTTACTGTAAACTGAATATTTTAATTTTCATATGGGAAATAATTAAATCTAATCGATATTATTATTTTAATTTTGGCGTTTAATGTAAGTAACTTTCTCTCAGCCACTCCACAGACCAGAAACATCTTGCAACATTTTCTGCTTTATTTTCTTACTGTTGATTTTGCATTTACAAAGGTTAATGGCACACAAAAATATACCAGTTATATCTAGCATGCACACATTTGTAGTGGATTTGACTGGTATTTTTTTTTTTTTTTTTTTTTGCATATAATGAATATGAAATACAATTTGCCTCAATAAGTTTTTTACAAAATGTTTATTTAATTTTTTTAATGACCTTTAACCACTATGGGTTATTTATTTGCATAAAACATTAACACGTTTGTTACAGTCCCAAGACGATGCAATAGACCCTCCCCATAAATGAACATCGTTCTAGAACGAAGCACCTTATCTAGAAAGCCTCATTGTTGTTTTTTGGGCCAGGTGGGGCTTTAGAATTTGACAATGTTACTGTGAAAATAATTTTTCAATTTGACCTTTTGGACATTTTTACAATTTTTTTAAGAAAAAAATTAAATATTTTCCTCAAAAAGGGTGCTTTTTTCAGTACTTTTTCTTGATGGTAAATACCTTTTTGCCCAAAAAAAAACTTTTATTTGAACGTACAATCAAGGACAGTATGTCGAAAGAATTTATTTCCTCATCTTTTTAGTCTTTCGCTCAATCACAGTTTTAGGGGTTTTTTCTGTTTTTTTATTCATAAATAATTAGTAAGTATGTAAGTACAAATAATTGTAAGTAGTAAATATGGAAATAATTACTAAATTTGTAAATAACTATTTTTTTTACCAAACATTGATTTTATGGATTTTAATATATTTTCAAAACATATTTATATATAAATATGTATATAATAATAATAATATAAAATGTGTTTAATTATTAGCAATACAAATAAATATGACATATAAGTAAGAGTTGTTAGTGTGTCAAACTCTTGGCTCGTAAGTCATGGGTTCAATTCCCACCAAATTTTCTGAGCGCTCCTTTCCCCCTCCTAAAAAAATCAATCTTTCACCATAGCTCATCTCTGGCCATTTGAAAAAATGTAATACAAAAATCAGTAGAAAAAATACAATTAACCTTTTTTTTATTATATATAAAATACGGGCTGGCATACATAAATATTACGCTTGCCCCATCACACAATCACAAACCAGTTGCCACCTAATCCGTGATTTATGACCGCATTAACTGATCATTCGTAACTGATAGAGCACTTTTTTCCAAACTCGGACTCCGTCAGTTTAAGTGGGAAACATCAAAATATTTGTTATTGGAAATGAACTTTTTGTTGATATAATATATTTGTGCATTGTGTCTATTATTAGATGGATACAGATTCCTGGCAATCCAAATCAGGGTTCCACTGGCCTTGAATCTAGATGGATAAATGTACATGGCCAATAAACCCCCTTCAACTGATTTTTTTCTCATCTTTATGATTTTGTTAATTAACTTGTAAAATTCATATAATTAAATCAATATTTTTTTGCATTTTTATTTCGTATAATGTTTTTAGCACTAGAAAGATACATTTTTATTTACAAAAATTTAAAAATGAACATTATTTCAAATAAATTAAAAGTATATTTTCTATTTTATTAAATTGTTATATTCTTTCTTTTTACAAATTTTTCAACTAATATGTGTAAATAAATTCTATTTAAAAGTGCATAACTAAATGATTTTCCTTTTTAAATTTTTACCCGTTATAACAAAGCCCAACAAGGCACGGATGATGGGATCACCATTGTTAATTTTTTACTTTAGACATTACATATAAAAAGTACAATAGGCCACAATCTTAAATATTTCGGGTTTTGCGGTTCCCTAGAATTTGTAGAAGGGTGTAGTAGTATTTGCCGTTTTTCCCCCCTTTAAATCTTAACTCTACATTATGACATATTATACAAAGTTTGGGAAGAAGTTCGTTCTATTTTCCCCCCTAAAAAAATTAATAAATTATATAAAATATTAATATTTTAACGCAACTTTTACTTGTAAATTAAATATTTTAAAAAGAAAATTCATTTTAATATACTATGCTTAATACCTTGCTTCAGAAATTTCCACACCGATAAAATTACGTCTGAATAAAATAGATAATATATTTAGTATGGTTATTTAATAATAATAGCTTAAGGGGCTAAGGTTTAGGTGGTGGTACAGTGCTCATCACTGTAGGTAAAGGCAGCCCTGCATTCAAACCCAACATACATACAAATGGGCTTTTTTTCAAAAACACCAGCACCTCAAGGGTTCATATAACCTCACAGTTGAAATACCCTCGTAAAAAAATAATAATAGTAATAATAATAATGATAGGTTTAAAACGCCCTTAAAAATAATAATAATATAAATATATATTATAGTAATACAACTGTATAAAATATTAAATTAAATTTAGTTTTAGGTTTTTTTTTTTACATTTTTTTTTCTTCCAGTTAATATACAATATAGGGGCTGAATAGTTCACTCACCAAACAAAAATTGTTCATGTCAAAGATGAAATGGATCCCCATCATGGCATTTTTCTATATAAATATGCAGGATAGTTTCTTAAATGATTTTTTAGTTATCTATTATTTGAAACATTAAAAAAAGTTCCATCAGGAGATAAATGCTTCAAAAAATTAAGATGTCTTACAGAGAGAAAGGGTAATACAACTGGTGAACGTGTTAAGCAAAATTTTAATTAAGAGTCATTTACAAACCTAGATAAATAGGTTTCAAAATTGTAAAATATAATTCCACATTTCGAGTGTTTTTACAAATCAGGGATGTAACAAACATGTTAATGAAACCACTATGGGTAATTTAAGCCGCATAAAACCCTTAAATAAACATGGCTATACATTCTTGTTGAATTAAAAATTTAATAAAAATGTACAAATGTATAAACATCTACTATCGAATAATATGATTTTCCATTTTCATCTGTTTTAAGCGATTGCAATAATATAAACAATTGATGTTTTTAAATAATAAAAAAGTGAATCCATTTTGATGTCAGTATCTCAGTATCGTAGGTATCTATCCAAATGTGGATGCTTTCCTCCTTTTTTTCTTTTTTTTAAACTTAAGTAAAACCTATTTTGACCTTATAACTTAATGTACATAAATATTGCAAATAGTGATGCTCAACACAGCAATACCTTATTTAATTAAATAGAACAAATCCCCTTATTGAACTATTTAAAACTAAATAAAATACAAGTTAATTGTAAGTAGTATGAGAGACAAACTGTTTAAGTAACTGAATCAAGGAAAATTTTTAAGTGGTAGAAGTCAATTCTTACCTGATCAAGTATGTAATTTCTCCTCCGGTGACAGCCCACATCCATGAGGCGGACCAAGCACTTGGTACACTTTTCAATCAGCACATCCCACCGGCCGCTGTAGTTAGCTTTTCTCGGTAGACCCATGACCTTTGTAAAATATGGATGTAAGCAACTCAATTCATATTGGGTAATATTTAGGTGAAGAAAATAATTACCTTCATTTTATCAATTAGAGCGTTTGTGCCAAGGATGTTAAAATGTTTGTCAGGATTGGCCATGCTGTATTTATCAGCCCAGTATGTTTTGCCGCAACCGGGAAGTCCACACATCATGATCATCTAAAGTATTTATTCTAGTAAAATAAATTCTTGACATTTGATGTTTAATAACTTACTTCACAGTCACTTCGTTTCTCTGGTCTTTTAGGCCCAGCGACTGCATTCTCTACGGGGAATTTGCCGACAAATGTATAATCAGGTTTCACATCAGTCCAAGGATCCGACTGGCCAAAGTTCACCTCGAATTTGACATTTTTTGTCAGAACGTGTGGAGCGAGGGCCCACTTATTTCCCTTGTTGTCTGAGTCCGGAATGGGTACCCTGAAGGCTTCACCAAATTTCTCATCATTCACATCAAAACTTATGACATACTCTTGATCAGTGAATTCCTACACAAAAGATTTTATTAATAAATAAATTTAATTATAGTTACAATTGTTTGAATTGGAAATGTTCTTCACCAAGTAAGCAGTTACAACATCCCCGACAGCAAAAGACTTTCCATAATTTGAAAATTTACAATTTTCAGCAACTTTTCCTGTACCACCAAAGCCATAAGAAAATTGTTCTTCACCTATAACAAAAATTCTTGTTTAAAAACTTTTTTTTATTAAAAAATCTACCATCATACCTAACTGAAGTGATGTGTGCAATGCTGACCATCCCACTCGTAATACGTTGGGATTTGGTTCATCTTCCAAATGTGAAATATTGCAGTTTTCTTTAAGCTAAAACCAAATACAATTTTTGTAAACTAAAATATCATCTTCGATATCAATAACACTTTAATCATTTAGATATTCAGAAAATAGTATATATTTAATAAATGACTTGTTTGCTAAAACATACTCGAACTTGAAAGCACAGTTTTCCAGTGGTATAAGCATGGGTTCCTCTGACACCCGCCCAGATGTAACCGAAGCCACCGTCACTCATGGGAGTCGCTTCCATAAAAGAGTTTGTATCAATCACTAAATTCAGATCAGAATCATCTGAAAAAGTTAAGTTCAAAGAATTTCCATTTGAAAACGTTTCAAGTTATATAAGGATGAAATACTTACACCAACTTAAAGTCACATCTGTATCTTTGATATCCGGCTCATCTTCTTTAATAGGCTTGACTGGAGTATGTTGATCCCTGATTTGGACAAATACAAATCATTAATACATTTTTTTATTATATATATAATACGAAAGGGAAAAAGGGAAGTTAAAATTTTTAATAAATTTATACTAGATAATTCATCATTAGGTTTGTTCTAATACACGATACACGAAGTGGCAAACTAATCCGTGATTTGATAACTGCACATGCCCGAACATCAACTAATCACAGATTCTTAATTCTGTTGGAACGCTTTTTTAATCTCAAGACACCTACAGCCAAATAATCTATATGGTTTGAGGGTTATAAACATCAAAACGTTTTGAATTGTAAACAGAATTTGGGAACGAAAATATTCTAAAAATTGTTGGTTACCCTATTCACCGTGCTCACCATTTGTTTATATTGTAATAAAACAGTGAGACTCATAAGAAAAAAAATTCCACAATGGGGTAGGGGGGAGCTTGAAATGGAGGAGCCCACCAGAAAGCTGGGGGGGGTTGATGGTGGCAAGGGCAAGACAGCGTAGTGAACAGCCAGGGCAATCAAGAGGAGAGGGGCTGGCTGGTGAGGACACGAGAGTTTGTAAGAAAAAAAAAATTTCTGGACATTATGAATAGTTTTTCGTCGCATCTCGAGAGAGTCCGAGTAAACCACAAAGATCACCGAGGAGTTATAGAGTATCCAGAGTGTCAAGTGCAACGGTGAAAATTAGGCCAGACTTTTTTCTTTTTTTAAATATAAGTAGTTTTGATTAGTTTTATGTATTATTATTATTGTTTTTATGTGATTTTGCAAACTGGGATTTAAGTTTTAAGTTACATATATATATTACACAGGGCGGGCGACCAGGACCCGAGGGGTTAAAAGCCTGAGTAGGCCCGTACCCCATCCCTAGAAGGTCCGGGACCTGGTCGGCTCACGAGTCCTGTATAAACCTATTGGACCTATTCACAAACCCCAGGATTGTGGACCATTTTATCCTGGGGAGTGTTTTGGTTATNGGTGTGGTGTTTGTTATCACTTCCAAAGCTAGGGTTGGTGTAGTGGGAAAAGCTCCCGTCATCATCATACAACCTAGTCTTTGGAATGACCTTAGCTTGTTAATAGCCCCTTTGTTTTCTAACCCATTCCACCAAACTAGGGCTGCAAATAGAAATCTTGGTAGTATGATGAAAGTTTTAAGTTACACTGTTAAAGTTAAGTTAATAAGTTTCTGTTTATTTTACTTTATTTTGAATTTTCATTCAAGCCTCATTATTTTGTAGAGAAAAAAATAGTGTGGCACCTGTTATATGTACAGCCTCACGAATTTCTCCGCTAAGTACCCATAACTTGGGTTGATTGCCACGGAAACCGTGACAATATTCAGTTGTAAATAGAGCCATGATTTGTATGCAATTGCATGTTCTTTTTCCTAATACTTACAATCATGAAATTTACAACCAAATATTTACCGTATCATATCTTAGTAGAACAAGTTCAAATTTTATTCTTCATGCTTCAATAATATTGCACATACATATTTACGTATTTGAAGAATATTGTTATTTCATTTTTTTTTATTTCTTAGAAAAATAAAAATAAATTAGGAAACTAAGAACATAAGAGGAAAAAGATGAGAGCTTAAAATGTTGTTTGGATTTGTTAACTTTCCAGAAACAGGCACAACAAACTGACACGACAGACAAATCAGCATCTTATTTGAAAATCAAATTTACAATATTTATGGGTGTATTTTTCCTCTTTCTGAAAATTTATTTTCCTAAAGTAATGGTGCTGTGGAAGGAGATACAGGCAGCAATGTCATTTGAAATACAGTGTCAGACCTCTTTCTAATTATATGATTTTTTATGTGACTGAAATTTTTTATTTGATTTCCTTTCAAAATGATTATGTACTAGACCAAAAAAAGATTTATTAAAAAAATTATTAGCCAGGTAATGTCTGACATTCATCCTGCATTTTTTAAATATTTTTATAGTAAATTATAAAATTATATTTGAGGGATTTTTACTGCATAAATATAGCATATATGAAGATTTTTATTTCATATAAATCTGGGCTCTAGTTATAAGAAATTTGCAATTTGACGAGAGCAAAAGCACGGGGAAATATTTGCAAAATCCTCAGACATTCTGAGGGTAAAAAAACAGTTATAAATGATAAATATGAAGAACGGTCAACTGACAGTTTGAGATTGGGTTGGAGTTGGAACAAACCCCACTATTAAAACGAAAAAAATGAAATATTTAATAATGCAATTTATTTTAACCGTGCGTATTGTTTTTAAAAATCTATTAGTCAGAACTAGTCACAAAAAGATTAAGACAATTTATAAATTACTCACCTTCTCGGACTTGGTGACCGCTTGCGTTTACGGTCTTCCCGTTTCTCAGTCTTAACTTCATTATTTTTAGATTCACTTTTCCCTTCGACCTAAATTGATTTAATATTAAAAATAAAATAGATGATGAATTAAAATTATTGTAATCACCTTCACTTCCATGGGTTCGGCTTTTATTTCAAAGCCTTCTTTTAAGGATCCGTTTAAGTTGTCTTTCACGTTATCACTTCTTTTATCGCCCTAACAATAAATATAAGGTATAAGTGAAAAATAAAATAACAAGACGAAAAATTGTACCTCTAATTTTACGTTTTCCGGGGGGGTTTCATCCACATCCATGGATCCAGCTTTTGGAGGGAGGTCTTCATTTTTCTGGGAGGATTGTGTCTCTGATTTAGATTTAGCCTCTGCATCTTGGTTGGCTGGTGATGCTGGCACCTGTTTTACAGGCGACGCCTGGGAAGATGGTGGTTTTACAGGAGATGTAGCTGTTGGCTGATCATTTTCTGGTTGACAATCTTCTGCCTGAACCTAAAAAATAAATCAAATTGTCGATACAAAACAATAAAATCAATTATTCATCTTCAATTCCTACTTTTTTCCAATTATAAAAAAAATTATAATTTCATTAATTAAAAATATTGGCTAATGTTCGCTCTCAGTAACTTTTTGTTTATTTATTTTTTAATTAGGCAAATTTATAAACACAAATCAACAGTATTATAACAGCTGATAAACGTTTTAATCCTAATTTAATTCTCATTATTATTTCCATTTTGTTAAACAGACATACATTAACACTAGATACCATGTATTCAATGATGTAACTGATAGAGAGAATATAGGAGAAATAAATTGGTTAAGAATTAAAATTTTGTGGATGGACGGTGTAAATAGTGGTAGGTTAACACTGAACGACATATTTGTAAAGTATTAATTCATTTTCTTCCCTTTAATACTTTTTATTCCCAAGTTTTAAGATAATCAAAATAAAATCCCATATTTACCATTTTTGTCATATCAGAAGAAACTTCAAAAAGAAATAATAAAGTCTAATAAAAAAAAAAAACACTTCTTTTTTTTAAATAAGTTTCTATTAAAGAAAAACTTAAAAAGATGTCAGCTGAGAAGAAAAAAAAGGAAGTGATTAATATAATATGCTAGTACTGTATTGAGATGAAGATTTTTCTATTTTTACTCATTTTATTCTTAATCAAGTACTTTAAATATTTTTATATTTATAAAGTTAAGAATAAATTTATCGTAAAAATAAAATAAAAAACTGTAGACACCCACTTCTTCATCATCCTTAGCATCATCCTCCTGATTCAAGTTCTCGTCGTCATCATTGTTCTCTTCTGTCCCCTTATCAGGAGTCTGAGCTGGCTGAGAAACTTCATGTTTACCATCAGAACCTAAAATAAATAAGACAATTAAATGTTTGCAATAATTTTCAGAATGATTGTTGATACTTGTTCCAATTATTTGGCGTACTGATAAGTTTAAACATTTTAAAAGTTTTGAAATATTACAAAAGAACTTAAGCATCAGCCTCTCGGTTCGATTCCTAACATTGCCCCTTTGAATTTTACTTTATGGAGACCCTCATCCACAATATGTTCGTACTTGGATATATTTAACTAAATAAAAATATAAATACTACAGGCAAAATAGGATTTTTGATTAAATTTAAACATAGGGAAAAAATTACAGTTTAACCAAACTCAGATGATACAAAAGTGCCTTTTTTGTTCTATCTACAAGTATGGCAACCACGGTAGAAACAAAACAAAAAACAAAGCCAGGATCAAATAGTGATAGCAGTTAACCAAATTTAGAATTTACATAAAAAGCAAATGAGATAAACTGAATATCCTCAAATGTTTTCAGAAAAGTTTTAATATAGCAATTTCATAACTATATTAAATTTCTGAGCATTTGTGTGAACTCAATTCATCTTGAGATTAATCATATCATTTCATTTGAACATTAACAAAAGAAAGAAAAAACATGCCTTTTTCTTTTTAAAAACGATTATTAATCAAGTTTGTTTTGCCAAAGTTTAGCCATCATTACTGATTGTTGCTAAGCATTTCTTTTGCTGCCTACCCCGAGCTGATTTAGGCTGTCAGAAGCGTTTCATCCACAGAAACAGAAGGCCGAAATATTATAATTGCACCATGAGTGTCAAAAAAAAAAAAACACATCAGAACACTACACGGCTCAACACTACCTAGACCGTTTAAAATTTAAAATAATAAATGAGTTAGATTTTAAACTAGTTAAATTTTTACCTGAAACAGACATTTTATCAAGATTATTCTTTTTGATTTTTTTTTTTCAATTATGCATCGGCAATCCCAAGCTAATTTTAACCACATTAATGAGTAATTGATCTCTTTGATATCATCTGTCACCCAAAGGCAAAAGCTTTAATCCAAGAATGACCAACGACGAAAATACATGGACTGTTACTAGAAAATTAATGCCATGCACCAGCCAACTTAAGACTGAAACATAATAGGCCGCAAAACTCACTTGACGATAACTGAATAGTGAAATTCTTCCTTAGCCTTTCTTATAAAAAAAGCTACTCGGCCTTTCTCTGATAAGAACCGTGTTTATCATGTGAAATGGTTAACACACTAAAATAAAAATCGGTTGAGTGCTGTGAACCTATTTGGGTTCCCTACTTTGAGAACTGTATTTGAGGAAATTTGAAATCGCCTCTTAAAGAAGTAAGTGAATCTGTAGACAATTTAAGATTGATTTGCCCTGATGATCACCTTAAAATAGATCGAAAGCTTGGCAGTAACAAATGAATTTGCTTTTTTCTTCAAGACCGTACCTTGACCCAAACTGTTCATGGGACAAACTTAAGTATCTGTTTGTTTCACCTAAAGTTTACAATAAATAATCAGTGATTTTGTCATTTCTAATCATTTCGGTCCACCTATCCATGCTATTCTGGTAAGCGAACTACTGATTAATCACTTCACAGTCCACAGGAGGAAATCTAATAATTTGTTAGATTCGTGAGGAGCAGTCAAGAATGAGGTAGTTTAGAAAAACACCTTTTTCATCCCCCCCCCTGATGTTTCGACCTTTATTCAGGTCACCTTCAGGGTATAAAGTGTGGTGCTATTCTTGTGGTATCACATTGGTGTCGGGTAAAATTGTTGATGACAACAAAAATTATGTATGAAAGGACACAATTGACAATAACAGCACTGACTGTCCAATGAAAATGGCAAAATGACAATATGCTTCTGAAGAACAAAACCAGGCAAACAGACCAAACAAGAATGATCAGGGACCAACTTGTCTGTTTGTTTCACCTCACATTTACAATAAATAATCATGGTTTTGTCATTTCTTATCATTTCGATCCATCTATCCATGTTTTGGTAAGTCAGACACATTTTGGAAAACAAAACATTCATTACCCATAGACCACAAGAGTGCTTTTTTTTACTTTTTCCCACTTTTCGCTATAACTATTTACCACAATTTAAACTATCCTGAAGACTGGTTGTAGTTGAATTGGCCTTGCCACTGTCACTCAAATTTGTAATATGTACAACAGTAATGAATTGTTTAATAAAAATGTATATAAGTTTTTAAAAAAACACAAATCTCTTAATCTAAGTTTTTTTTGCCCTGTGTTTTCACATCTGCTAAGATAATTATAAGTTAATCTAATTAATAAGTTAAAATAATTAATAAATCTAAGTTAATTTATATCAATTTTACTACTTTGATTAGATTTTTCATTCCCCTTTCTTTTATTTAGTTTTTATCTGTAAAACTAATATTAAACGATGGGAAGAATAATTAATTGATAGAAGTTAATGTTACATTAATATTCAAACAATCTAACCAGTTTAGGTTGTCTAATTTTCATATTTTTTATAATGATTATTTGGAGACCATGAGATTCGGTCTGGCCATGATGTAGGTTTAGAAAATCATTTATTTTGAACTGCCAACGTTTTGATCTTTATTGTACTTACATTATTGTCTTATTGTTTACATTATAAAAATACATGTAAGATGTGAATACGAGTTTATACAATGATGTCCACAATATAGAAATTTTAGGTTTAATCAAAGTATTTGTACTCACTCGAAGTGTTTTCTGTGTAGATGTATCACTGTTGTGTGTCGTGTTGAGAGTGTTAGTGAGATATTAATTCAACACAACCGTGACACATCTACACAGAAAACACACTTTCTGTGTTTAGAAAATGTTTTCTAAACCTACATAACACAAGACCGCATCTCACGATTTCCAAATAATCATTAATTAACGGTCACTAAATACTATATAAAATACTAAAAAAATACAACGTAGTTTTATAATATTGTTTATGTGCATAGGCTTGACATAGACAGAGGTTTTTATCACGTGCATTAGGCTTGCCATTACTGAATTGGAAAAACGATAAAATTGGTTTGATAATAAAATTCTTCTGAAATAACAAAAAATATAGTCTTGATTGGGGAAAATAAAATATGATGAAATTAATCAGATTAGTTCTTAGTATAACACCCGGGCCTATCACCATGGTTACATTTTCATTGATACGGGGCCCGATGTAAAATCGCGTGGAGCCTTACGCCAATTTTCAACGGATGAGACCAAAATTGGACGGAAAAACACGTGACGGTCAATTTCGGATCGACTATATATTGATCTGAGGGCAAACGAGGTCGAGTTTGGAAAGAGGCGGAACGATGGCGTTTGGCGGGATCGGACGGAAAATAAACAGAACGTCCGTTTTGACCTTTTGACCCGCGCCGAGGAACGGCGTGTTCGGCGAAGACGGGGAAACGTGCCAGAACCGAGTCTCGTCCGGTTTTTCAAGACTCGAGAATATCAGAAGAAAGCCGGCTTCGCAAGTCAGTCAATAAGAATCGGCAAATATGGCGGCAAACGGCCGACGTGTTTCGTACGGCGACAAGGGAAATCCAAGAGGCGTTCAAAACGGAAAAAAAAGGACGAGAGAAGCGTGCAAGATAGGTTTAAACTATTTAATCTGATTTAATTACCCTTTTCTTCCTCTTCCAGAGCTTTTTCCAGCCTTTCGACGAGAGCGGCCTTGTTACCTTTGGTGTCGAGACCGCGGGAAGAGAGCTCGGCCCTCAGCTCGACCACTTTGAGCTTCGAGGGAATCATTTCTGAACTGTTTTACGCCGGTTGGGACTGATGCGGAAACGAGTTACAATCAAAGGCGACGCTTTTAATCATGGAATATCGCGTGGCCCGTGTCAAAAACGCCTTTTTCGCCGGTCTCGGAGGAAACGCGCACACAAACAAACCAAGCGACTGGCGTGCCGTGTGAAAACAGCAAAACTGATTCGACGCGCTGCCAACGCCCGCTCGGCAAAATTCCCGGCTGCTTGCTCAATTTTCCCACCTACGACTTTCAAACTTAAAATAATCAAACGTTCAGCAATTTAAGCAATTCAATAATATTATTGACCTGATAAAAAAAAATTCAAGATTGCAAAGGATTACATTTTTCTTTAATTTCGGAGGGGGTTAATGCAAGGGGCGGTCAGGGTGAACCCTTTATCCTAGAAAATTTAAAATATTAAACCAAAATTTATTTTGTCACGAACTGTTTGGAAGAGGGCAAGTACTCGGCAAGTACTTTCTAGGTCTGAGCAAAGTGATTGTGTTTCACATAAGATGTTCAAAACTATATTAAAAATGCTGTATAATTTTTCTGATTCAGCGATAAAATTGATGATCTTAATTGTCAAACAGGATACAATGAGTTAAATATAACCAAAAATTTTCTGATTTTGAAAATATCAACATGGGAGTTACGCAAGGATCTGTATTGGGTCCTATAATCTACTTTATTTCACAAATGATCACCACTTAAATGATGACTAAATACAATCATTGATATCAGACATTCAATTGTGCTAATTTAATTTATATATATACTCCTATCTAGCAATGGCAATGTGTACTCCAAATAATGCATTAAATGACACTTTTTATTAACCCCTAGGCAATGCCGGGTTGTAAGCTAGTAACAAATAAGAACAATTCAAATGAATTGAAAAAATGGGTTGTGTCTCAGTAAAAATAAAACACTAAGCCTAACGGACCTCTCAGAACTCCCAACAAATCCTGATTTAGTCAGCCTATTAGGCATTGAAATAGATCCCGAACTAAACTGGACTGCCCACTGTACAGATATAGTAAAAAAATTAAATTCAAATATAATTTTATTGAGATGCCTAGCTAAACAGATATCAAGTGTAAAACTACTAAAAGCATATCTTTTACTCCCTATTGGTGTGGCGACATGCTCCATCAGCAGGAAAAAAATTTGCTACCGAAAGAAAAGCAGAGTTCTTTCAAAACTAAAATAGAGAGACGACTGCAGGCAAGCTTTCATTGATTTAATAATTTTGTCTCCCCCCTTTATTCATATTCTAAAGTGTATCACATGCGTTAATAATAAATAAGTTAATAACCTTTATAAATTTAAAAGAGTAACTATCTTACATGATCATGAAACTTGATCTCATAAAAAACTGAAAGTTGCTCAAAATAGTACAAAATATTGGATGGTGAAATATAATATAATATTATGTCATTTGATGAAATATTAAAATAATATAATACTCTCAACACGACACACAAGAATGGCAATTACGCAGAAAACAAACACTTTGAGTCCTGAAGATGATCTCAATAAAGATCGAAATGTTGGCATGATAAAGAAAATGTTTTTCTGAAAACTACATCTCACCAGACCGCATCTCACGATTTCTGAAAAATCATCAACAAATGGTCTCTAATCACCGCACAGTATAATACTGTACCTGACAAATTAAAACACTTAAGTAAAAACAAGCTAAGGGAAGTAATTTATTAGTATCTGATCACACATGCCTTTTATAGTGCAGATAAATTTTTAGTATGTTTTAAATCATATTGTGTTATCCTAAATTTCTTTATATATTTATTTATTGTAAAATATTTATTTACATACCACTGTTATAAACTGAAGTTTATATGAAATATAAAGCTACAGCTCTAACCACTTATAAACTTAGTTTCATTTATTTATTTATAATAATTTGCGGTTTAATCCTTCCACATAAATGAAAAAGAAAAAAAAACAGTCTGGTTTCTAATACAAAACAATAAATAAAACTAAACATAAGTTAAAGGCAAATAATTTAACAATAGTATAATGAACAAAAGTGCAAACAAAATGAATAAATGAGATGAACAACATAATAAAAAAGAATGTAAAGAAAAATTAAAATATAACACTAAACATCATGTTTTAAAATATTTAACAAAGAAAATATCGGTGTCACTAGGCAGTGATAGATATCTTTGAATTATGTCTATTAGATTATGATAAATGTAATCTTGGAGTACTTTCTGCTAAAAATAACTTATGAGACCTCTAACATTAATGAATATCATTTTTAAAGGTAGCGTTTTACAAATTTGATTTGTTGCTATGGTTACTTTAACTCACCCCTATAATATCTGCCAGAATGGAAAAGGCAGATGGGATTATCTCTGAATCTCCAACCAGTAATTCTTCTTTATTTCACCGTTTTAATATAATAATACTCAGTTTCGTAGATTTCAGATTTTTTTTTTGTATTCTATAAAATCATTATTAACTTCATTACAAATTAATATACTATTTTAAAAACTGTAATTGTTCTGTTTAATATAAATCTAACTATTTGTCATTATAACTTTTTTCCAGAAGAGTCCTATAACCAGGATATCGAGAAAAGAATTACAGAAGCATTTGAAGTGTTTGACCATGCTGGAAATAAAACTGTCGATGTTCGTGAAATAGGGACAATTTTGCGTTCATTAGGTATTAAAAAAGATTATTAAATATACACAACTCAACATACTTATTGCCCATTTTGTACCCAGGCTGTGTCCCAAGCGAGGCAGAAATTCAAGAATTGATAGTGAACGTCGAAGATCAAGAAAATGCCGGTAGTGTCCACCTTGACAGATTCCTCCCTTATGTGAAAGGAATTATAAATGAATACAAGTATGAGGTTATTTTTTGTTTAAAAAAATATTTGAAATAAAAATGAAATCAGCTGTGCATTTATTGCTCTAGATTGCAGCCAGCAACAGCAGAAGATCTGCTTAAGGCATTTCATACGCTTGATCAAGAAGGGCTGGGCTACATTACCAAAGAATACATGACAAAAGCTCTCATGGAAGGCCGGGAGCCTTTTACCCAAGAAGAAATTGATGAAATGATGGATGTTGCAGTCGATCCTAGAACTGGAACCATCAACTATGAAATGTACATCAATCAAATTATGGTATAATTTTTCATTTATTTATTGTTGTAATAGTCAAAAATTAATAAAAGGTCAAATAGGGATCCATTGCGAACTGTATAGGTCTATTGTGGAACCCCTAAGATTAAAGCTATAGAAAACGCATTTTCCTACAAAGCTAAGCACTTTCCTAGCTTTTTCTTGCACACTTCTATTAGTGTAAGAATTGCCTTACAAAGTTTCTTTACTATATATGGACTAGTGTCATACGTTCACGATGGAATGTGCCTAAGTCTCTGGTTTCTTTCATTGTCAGCATGGTTCTGTCTCAGCTTTACCCATCTTCTTTAGATGTTAGTTAAGAGGGCATTGACCAGTATAGAGTCATATCGTTTTCCCCAAATCTGCCTGCTGAGAGAGAGGAGTTTTTGCTCCATCTTTTTTAAGACTTTACCTCTTACCTTTCCCATAACTGGCACTTTCATCTAGTGGTTGACTTGTTTTCCTCTTACTTTGTCAAGTGCCGTTATAGCCAACCATTTATTTTAATTCTCTCTAGAATTGTGTGGTGTTTAGTGACCGTTAGTTAATGATTATTTGGAGATCGTTCAGATGAAATAATCAATCTCGCTAGAATTTCATGATGGCTTCTCCTTAAATATGTTTTTATTTCTTTATCTCAGGAGTCTATTTCCAGTCGCGATGGTCACATGAATGTGTAACAGAGGGAGACCACTTTATATAGACCACTATATCCTTTTATATTTTCGATAATTTGTATGTGAACATTATCTAAGAATTGCAAAACATGTAAAATTATAAATGCAGGCAAAACAAAGCCCTGAAGATGATCTCAGTAAAGATGGAAACATTGGCACGATAAAGAAAACGTTTTTCTAAATCTACATCATGCCAGACCGCATCTTACAATCTCTAAATAATCATTAATTAACGGTCACTAAATATTATACATTTCTACACGAACTGTTGAGTGAGATTTTTTGTGGTTTTCTTCAAGATGATGAACACATCGTAGTTTTATCATCTCCAATCATCCTGATCTGCCTATACTCACTAATCTAATCACAATTACTGATTGTCCAAATGTGGAACTCATCTGACAGACACACCCAAGCAAGGATAGACAGGGCAAGATGATCAAAGAGGATCCAGTTACAAAGTTTTTAATGATTTACAAAAAGCAGGCTGATAGCCTAATTTAAAAAAAAACCTGTTTTAAAAAATATTAAACTCTCATAACAACCTTTAATCATTGGTGCAACAAAAGGTGGCTCAGGATTTTAGGTAATGTTTGATAGCATTTTATCGAGGAAAAACCTATTGAGCTACATGTTCATCACCTCAACACTTTATTTTATTATTTAAATCCATATCAAAAATGTCAAAAAGCAAGGCGTTGAAGACTTGCAAAAGGGCCTGTAGTAGCCAAGTGGTGTTAAGCTGGGTTTCCATTGCGTGAAACACTGTCAACCATTTCCATGAGGTGAAACAAGGTGAGCCATCTGCAGCATGCTGTTTGTAACTTCACCAACTGCTGCATCAGAGTTTGCTATCATGATGATACTTTCTGATGTACTTCTTATCTTTTTCCCATTTAGATGCTCATTTCCTTCTATTCTTTTTCACCCTCGTTCTTCTTATGGTGAGTTTTATCTTTAGCATCCCACAAAAATCAGTAGCTGTGATACATTCAGATAAGTCAAATACAGTCCTCCTGGTTCATTATCATACTCGAGACAAGTATGTTTACATAGATAAGAAAAACCTGGCTGGTCCTGGCTAGATATCCACAACACCAGAAAATTTTTGTGAATGATTTTTGCACAGAGGAAACTCAGCTTTAGACTCTCGATTTAGGTCCTGTGGTTGTTGGTTCGATTCTCACTGTTGCCTGGAATTTTCTATCGCCTTCTCCTTCACCATATACATCAACCAGCACAAGTACCTTTCTCTGAACCTAATATGAAAAATGCCCATTTAAAAAAAATGATAAAAAAAAGAATATTTGCCAAAGAAAAATACTTGAAATTTGAAAGCCAACAAGGATGTCTAAGTAGTTTTTATGCAGGCTTATTAGTATAATTAATTAGTTGAAAACAATGTTAATGTAAACAAAATCAAATTCTTCATTCCTATCAAGAAATAAAAAGAATCTTGTAAAATTGTGGTTTTGGGAATTAAAATTTACTTATCTCAATATTTAGTATTTATTACAGCATTTATTAATTATTATATTATTTATTTAAAATGTTAAAATATATACATAAAAATAATTTGGTCATTGTTAATATATAATATATATATATTTTTTTTAAATTTCAGATTGATTAAGAAGACTTTCTTTTCTGCATAAAACAACATGAAAATAATGGATTGTTAGTTGATAAATTGCTGTCATATCTTACTATCTCAAATAAATAAAAGCCAAGCTAAATGTTATATGTAATTATATTTTCATAAAACAAAACTCATTGGTTAATTGTAATCATTGAAATAAAAACTTTTACCCTAGTCTACAAACCTGGACTTCTAGTTTTAAAACTTACGATGAAAACAGATCTAACACAAATTAATATATGAGTTAATTGAAAATCACAGCCTTTGTTACAAATTTCTTAAGACAACAACAAAGTAAATAATTGTGTTTTCAATGAACTATTGTCACTATAACTATTTTTTCCCCATTTCAGTCAAATTTTATCACAACATAAACAATTTATATTCAAATGTTTGATTGTTGTTTATCAAAATAGTTTTTATAAAATATTATACATAAAAAATATTATTAAATCAAAGGGTTACTTATTTGAACCGTTAACTTATTTTAAAGTTAACAAACTAAAACACAAAAAAATTACATATTGATCATTAATTCTTAGTAAAATATATTTACATTGGAATACATTTAAACTGATTCAACCCAACTTCATTCAATGAATTCAAATGCTTCATCTCAAAAGGAGATAAGTGGAAATGATTGAGATTGTTAGAAGATAAAGACTAGGTGTGAAGGAGCTCGATACACTCTTCTCATCTGAGCGTGAACCAGCGTTGGATCCTGAACAGACTCGGCAATCATCACCTTCACAAATATCACAAGGACTGCTGGTAATCGCCTCGTAAAACACTCTCGCTTTTCTCGCTGGAAAACAATTTTAAAATAGATGATCAAGGGTTTTCTAAATAATAAATGTTAAACTTACATTGGTCATAGTAATCGTAAATAGTAACAGGAACTGGCCTTTGTCTTGCAACTCTATGTGTTCTGAACGCAGAGACTGTCGGACAGTATTCTTTGGCAACCATCTTAAAAAAAAACCATACATTTTTTATAAATGTTTTAAAATCAATTTTTATTTTTAAAAGTTTAAAAAAATGTGCACCTTATCAAAATAAAGGACTACGACTGTATCTCCATCTTTAGTCTCAACTCTTTTAACATGTTGAGATATTTCAAGGCTCGGAAGGGAATCTGAATCGACAGTGTACCCAGAAGGAAGAGAGACTTCCATAACTGCCATATTGCTCTCATTGCCTCCAGTAAATCTGGAATAAATATGATATAAAAATAACTATTTTTTATTTATTTATTAAATAATCATACCCAGAGCAAATAGAAAGTTGTAGGTGGTTATTATCAGAGTTTTTATCCACTTGTGGATCTAATGTGAATAACGGCCATGCGCCAGTAACATTAACATTATATCTATATGAAACTTGAGCAATTATAAAACCCGAACCTTCAGCAGTAATATTTACTTCCCGGGTCTTCTTTGGTAGCTGCAATTATTTTTTATGATTATTTTTCATTACAGTAAAAATGTTGCATATTCGTTTTAAAAAAATTGAAAATAAACTTACCACTACTTTTTGAACAATCATATTGTTTCCTTTATTCACTGTGATATCTGAAGACATTCCTTCTTTGTACGTAAATTTAACCACTGCATCATTACTATCGGAATGTATTTTTGAAGCCAGCTTACCCAAGGCAGTCAAAGCTAAAATTGTATCCTGTAAAAACATATTAACATATAAAGTACCATTTTTACTACTTAGATATTGTGAAATTTAATGGTGAGAAACCTGGAGTTTTCCTATTATTTTGGTTGCCTTATGGTCTGATACAGACGTGTTTCGGGATCCTGGGAATAAAGTTGGTGAAAAGCCGAAACAAATTCAACAGACCAAAACAGCATTTGGCAGACCAAAATGATTGGAAATTACCAAACTATTTAAATATTTCTGAGATAATGGAACTTTTGCTACTTACTTGTGTAGAAGCAAATCCACCCCCATCGTTTTGTTGTGTAATGAGCCATTTCATAATAGAAATGGCATCTGCGATCAAATCACCTTCTAAGTATGCGAGCATAGCATATGATGTCATTTCAACATCAATAGCATTGGTATTTTGCTCATTAGGATTTTTGGTTTCTATGCTTGTTCTCTGCCACCATTTCTTGTCATCTGCAATTTTTCAAACAAAACCATAAAATAAAACAAAAAGTAGCAAATATGTAGATCTAATATAGCCGACTAATGCTGATTCACAAAAACTACCTTGTGTCTTGGCGTTCTTATTGAGGAAATTCAACAAAGTATTTGCAGAAGGATGCGAAGCTTTCATAAAACTATACGCTAATACGGCATTGGCATAATCATCATTTCCATTCATATTTTCATGCAGATATGAAATAGCTTTGTTAATTGTATTCCTATTTTGACCATTGAAAGACTGAGCTTCGATGAATGCTGTTAAAACGTAGGCAGTCAGTGCGACACCATTGCTAGCTCCTCCCTGCATGTCTTTGTGGTTCACAACACCGACTTCGGGGAAGCTGCCTGTTAAAAGTTAATGATAACTATGAGTAACTAAAGATAATCAATATTACACCTGCAATTTCTAATTAATTTACCATTGGCAGCTTGTTGGTTAGCCAGCCAAATCAAAGCGTCGTTAATGACCTGATTATCAATGTCAATGTAGTGTCTTGCTTGAATAAATGATTTTGCTACAAACGCCGTCAGCCTAAAAGCAGATAAACTTATTTTGAAAACTATTTCCAATAGTCTTAGTCATTATGACTTGACTGACTAAAAATATTTACTTTATACTATACATTGTAATCGTAAACACAAACGTAAAAGGAAAAAGTTTACACAGTTTGGACAATAAAGACTTACCAAGTACTTCCACTTCTGTCTGATTTTCCAAAAGCACTGAATGATCCATCAGGATGCTTGTAAGTCAACTCACGCTGGTAACCTTTTTCCATATATTTAAGACATTTATTTTCAATGGCTTTTGACAATTGGTTTGTATTCTGCAATGAATAATGACAATTGAACAATAAAAACCATTGTTAATACTACATTTAAAACAGTTGTAAACCCACTTTGAGATATTCAAGGACGACAATGTTTGGAACAAAATTGAGCATATTCTGCTCACCGCAGCCAAATGGCATTTTAATCAAACTCTCAAGGTTTGACATACTTGGACCAAAAATATCACCTATGGAAAATTTCAAAAATCTTTATTTGGTCAATATATAACAATTTTTTGGGATGTATCGGCCATAGAATATGTCCTTACCAACAGCAGCCACTTCAATATATTCAGAATCTGGTACAACATTGACAGGAATATCCAATTTGAAGCTTTTCATAATATTCTTGTTTGTTTTGAAGTCCAACAGAACAGCTTTGTTTTTGTACAGGGTTTCTCCCTCAGGCTATTTATTTAATATGTAAGTAAGTAAAAAATATCATTGGCTCATTGTAAAATTAAATTTACCTTGACCAAAAGTTTCTTCAAGATGGCATCTCCTGCAAGAGGGCTTTTAGCTGTTATTTTCAAATCAATATAACCGACCTCTTTTGGAGTAATTAGAAATGATGTTGATGCACCCGATTGTCTACCTACGTTAATGTGCTTCCTCCTGAACAATTCAAGCTCTATAAAATATATTTATCAATTAGGGGCATATGTAATTTATTTTGAAATGAAATTACACGAATGAAATAAAAGTCAAATCTTACTCGGACTTTCAATAACATCATTTGAATAATCGGAGAACTCAAATTGTCCTGAGTTTTCTAAAATTACTTCTGCCGTTATATCTTTGTCCATGTAGTTGAAGACAACAACTGGGATTGAAATCATTTCTCCTCTTATTATTGAATAAGGAAGATTTGTAGTGACAAAGAATGGTCTGAATACTGTTAGCTAAAATTTAATTTAAACAAAAATGTTAATAACGTTTTAAAAAAATTTCAGTATTACTTTCAAACCTTTTGTGGGGCTTCAGAAAGTCCAAGACCGTAAACTTGATCCAAAGAGAAGCCAGAAATAATCCATGAAGTGATTGTGTCTGGAACTGTTTTTGTAATGGATGTCCTGCCAGAGATCCTGTATGTCAAAATGGACCACGATTTAAAAAAAAAAAAAAAAAAAATAATAATAGATCTGATTTAAATTTGACAAGCAGTAATTTTGTAACGAAAAAAATGAAAAAGTACGAAATGAAAAAATGCAAATTGAAATAATGAAGAGAAGTGAAACATAATTTACAAAAGGTAATTATAATAGAAAGAATGACAAACATTTAATTAAGTAAGTAAATTTGTAAACAAGGCACTCCAAAAAAAAAAAAAAAAAAAAAAAAAAAAAAAACCAAATCAATAACAATAATATGTTTTTAAACTCATTTATAAGCAACCCATTTTGGTGTCCTCATACAGCATACAAGACAAATTGTGCAATATTAAGGAGTCAAGCGTGGTACTTGGGGACCTGAAATTCATACCCTGTAGACAGTTCCTTGAAGAGCCAGGTGTCAGCGGGATAATCTCCATTGAGGAAAACTCTCGGGCGGTTCCAAATTGGTTTTGGGAGTCTTGAAAAAGCATAGGGGCCAGCCAGAGGAGGCCTCGTGACTGGTCTGTAGGGCAAAGGTGGCCCAATATCAGGTTTGAGATGTCTAGCTCCAGGAGCGACAGCCGGGCGGTCTCCCATCAAAGGCTTTTCCTTGTAGCCTGGCGCCGAATCCATATTTCAATTATTATCTTGCAGTAAACTGGTTTTGTGTGAGAGTTTGCAACAATAGGAAGGGAAAAGGAATCGGAAGTTATTTGCATATTTACTATGACTTATAATTTGATGTTTGTATAACTTTAAAATGAGATTTGTTGTCAAAAAGTAAATTGTCAAATTCTGAAATCATCCCACTTGTCTACTTAGCATTCAGAAGTTATATGCAAATAAAATCCCTTAAAAGGTGCCTCATGCCCCGAGCAGACAGATTTTCAAACACCACCAGCCCAAAACCAAAACATGCAAAACAAAAAAGGCTTATATTCGGCCAATTTACCCAGAGTCCAATTCATCCCAAATCCACGTTTCAGGGAATTTGCTTCTGACCCTGATACTTGGCTCATAGGGAATTGCTGCACCAGCTGCAGATGCAAAGGCTCGTAATTTGAAACCTGCATCCAAAGTACTCATATCAAACATCTCTTCTTGATCTTCTAGATACATACCTCTGAAGAACCCTACAGACACACATATACAATCTCACCAGAATCACATTTCTAAATAATTACCTCAATAAGTAATAAAATTTATAACATTTTCATCTTTTAAGTCAAGAGTATCAAATCATATTAATTGTTCTACTATTATTGATAAAATTAAATTTAGTTATGGCATATGGTATTTAAGAAGTTATCTAAACAAAGCTTAGAAATAATGACTAGTGAAAAACTTCTTTTGAATCTTAATAAATTAACAAGGAAAAATATGATATTATTTATATCTGAAGTAAATTATTTAAAATTTTCAACAATAAACTTAAAACTACAAAAACAAAATCTTATTTATGTTTGTATTGAAAGTTATTAAAGGAATCAAAAGTAAGATTGCCAGCCACTATTTTTCAGACATTTAAATTATACAATTTGATACTGTCATATATCCATTCTTAACACAATCTAACTGTTCAATTTACTGTAAATAATTTATTAATTAAAATATAATAAAACGTTGGTGTACAAGAACAAAAACAGTCCTTTGTCCTGTTTAGAAAATACATGACTAATGCAGTGCAGTGCAATCACAGTGTGTGTAAACCAAATCATTTAAAAAAAAAAAAAAACTTATTAATGATTTTATTACTTTTGAATAACTTTGGAAAGTGGATTGGAATTAATGCAAGGTATAGTGCAGAAAATGCATAAAGTGACAATCACAGAAATAATACATAAAAATATTTTGAAAAAAAAATTGCTTTCATATAAAAGTTTATATGTTAATTGTAGAAGTATATACTGTTAAATAAGCATTAGCAAATAAGTGAAAACATTAGCTCAGCTTTTCCTACTTTTAATCTACAAAGATGATGTCTATGTAATCACAAATTTATGTTAAATAAAACAGACAATTATTTTCATTGATTTAAAAGCGATTATAGTTTTTAGTCCATTATTTTTTGTTATGATAAATCTCAAAAGTACTTACGCCAAGGCTGAGCATTATTAACTTCTGAATTTGTTAAAACAACTACTCCTGCATGCTAGAATTGAAAAAAATTAACATTTAATTTTTTAAAAATTATTCAAAAATTAATAATTTTGTAAATACTTACTTCAAATGTGTCAAAAGTGGTAATGCGTCTTCTATCATAAGAACGGAATGCAAATCGCCTCTTCCTTTTAAATGCCATATGTACATCATCATACAATGATGGAATTGATTGATCATAATTTCTTAATTCATCTATCACTTGGCTCTATAATGATTAACAATATAACAATGTTCATTGCAAACAAATAAAATGATACATTACCTCAGTTAAATCGTTTCCAGATTTAAGTAAAAGGACGCTTTGGTCGACTGCAAGTAGTCCAACAAGAGAATTCGGCCTAGTTAATATCCTTAAATCAACTTTATTTCCTGGTTCAATCCTTTTTGCTGAGAGATCCATTTTCACCTGAATTAACAAACTTTTAGCATGGATTTTGTTTAAAAATTAATTTTATCTACTTACAAAATTTTGAAGGATTTCTTTAAGTTCAATGTCTACCACATCAGCAATCATCTCTCCTTGTGGGCTAATAAACTGTACAACAACATGAGCAACAGGGGCCATGGCATATGTAGCTAAAAATCTAATTGTTGTGGACTTGCTTGGAGGAAAGCTATGAAAATTAAACAAACTTTAATTAACTTGAGTATTTTTTTTTTAATCAAAGAAAAGTTCACAAAAAATATTTCAATTTGTTTACCGGCCTGATATTTTGTAATACTATATTAAAATGATTTACATATCACGGATTAAGGTTTCTTTAACTTACTTGATAGTGTTAGCATGGATTATATCACCCCTGCCAATAACTTGATACATTACATACGTCATTTCATTTGTAGATGTAACTTCCACTTCAATGTTCTGATTGACCTAGAAAAATTAAAAATAATAATGCTGTATAATATAATTTATTATCAAATTTATTTCTTACCTGAGGATTTTGTGTTAAAACAGAGGCTTTTACGGATATATTATTCAGTGAAATTGCAGCTGACATTATTGGAAAATGTTCTTTCACATCCAAGTATGAACCCTTCATACAATGCATTATATTAGCCCACACATGTATAAATTTTTCAAGATTTATTTGCTAGACAGAATGAACATACCTCTATTTGAATAACAGTAGCATTGAGTGGAGGAAAAAAGGTCAATTCAAGAACGCCATTGTCTGGAACTTTGTATTCAGTCGTATTATAATCTTCATCACTGTAAGAGTATGATGATTTGATCTTAATTGGATTCGTATTATCAATTACTGGTGTCTCATCATGATGTACAAGTTTAATCTAAAAATAAGACCAATTGTAATTGTGATCAAACATGAAAAATAAAATTTAACAAGTGCAATACATACAAATACTTTATGTTCAAGTCCTGGTTTAAAAACAGTGGAGGTGTCAAACATTTCAAATTTATATTTATTCTTTCTAATAGTCATTTGAGCAGACTTGTTTTGTTTTCTTCCAGTCAGATCTTCTTTAATGATTACATCAAATTTAATTTCTCTCTCAAAATCATCTGGAAGGCTGAAAAAAAATTGTTAAAGACTGTCATGGGATCTGTGAAATGAAGGACCTGAATTTTGCTGGTTTTGTCTGTCAGATCCAATCAAGCCAAACCACAATTTATAACATTTTCTTATTTATATTTAAAATTCTTACTTGAGTTCTTTAACAACATCAAATTCAGCAAGCGCTTTTCCATCAATGGGCACAGTTTTTCTAACAGGAGGGTTGAATATTGGCTGAATAATATCAGAAAATGTATCAGAGTAAACAGCAATTGTTGCTTCTCCTTTGACAGGCTTTCCATAAGTGTACCTATAACAAAAGAAACAATCTATTCAATTATATTTCACTAAAAAAAATATTCAAGTTTATCATTTAAACATTACTTTGCCCTGATTGTCGCTGCAACTTTTGAATCTTTGAATGTTACATAATCAGGGAGGTCGATGGAGACCTCAAATTTAGGCAACACATATTCAGCAACCTCAAAAGATTTGCTGAACTTCTGTCCATTGACAGTGGCCACTAGCCTCCAGTCTCCCAATACTGGAGCCGAAGACAGTTCAAATTCTGAAGAAAACAATCCTCTAGGCAATGTGATATTGTTCCACTGTTTCACTCGATTACCATCCCCGTCCTATAAAAATATTATTATTTGTTGAACCCATAAGTATAAAACAGATTTGCATTTTTACTTACGTTTAGATACAGATTTACATCTTCCCGGATTGGTTTCATGTAGCGGTTTAAGAACAAAGCCCGGAACATAACTTTGTCACCTGGTTTGTACATCGCTTTATCAGTCTGAATTAGGACGGATATGCTTTTTTCCGAAAAACGTAATGTTGTCGTGTTTTTGAAATAAAATGCCCCTTCACTTCTAATTGTCAAGTTATAGTTTCCTCCTGATAACTCATTGTTCACCTGTGAAAGTCAAAAAATTGTAATAAACAAAACAAAAACTTGATAGTTTTGATTATTCACTATTTTTCGTGGTCCACTTGACCAATTGATATCATTCAGTTAATTAAGGTTTTAAGTTGAATGTTTTGATTATTCTTCTTTAGTACCTTAAATGTCATGACTTCAGAAGAGTAGGGTCGAACATTTGCAGTTTCTTGCAAATAAAAGGTGCCTCCTGAGAACTTTTGACCGCTGATTTCAGCAACAAATGTCACAGGCTCATTTATATCTGACGTAGTCACAGCTACATGGAAGTCACTGTTGGGACGTATCACATTTGGAGCAACGACAGTGTAATACCTATAATAAAGACACAAGAAATAAACTCAAGTACTAAAAGGTCTCATCAAGATATATATATAAACTTTATAAAAAGTTTGTTGAGTGAAGCAACATTTAAAAGCAATGAAACATATTAAAGAAACATAGTGGAATTAAATAATTATGTTAATTAGAATAAGAATGAAGAAGGAGAAAACCTATCAGCCAAAAAGTTTTCAATGAATTTTTATCTTCCCATATAAATAGTCAGCCATAACATAAATTGTTAATAGTTTGCATGAATATGCTAGAAATAGAATATAAAATATCACATTATTTTATTATTTCTGTCCTCATACGATGAAATTTACAACAATACAATAAAGAAAAAATAATAAGATCATCAATAAACTCAGAGGAATTAAATAACATAAAAAAAACTAAGGTCTAAAGTACAGATTTTTCTCAAGAATGAAAACAAACACTAAATGATACAAAGAATTAATGTAAAAAATTGTTAAAATAAATCCAGTACAATTAAGGCACTGGAATTAAAGAGTAATTTACATACTTTAATATATACTTCTTTAATATACATTTGTTACCCCAAATTTTTTTTTATAAAAATGGACAATTTTAATTCATAGTTTTGCCATTTTTCTATCCTATTAGAAAGGTTAGAAATTTTGGATATGTTTTGGTATAAGGCCAACTTAACTGGTTGATCTGTGTGTTATTGTCCTAGTTGAGTGTTTGGGCAATTTTAAACCTGTTTGGACCAACAAAATGACTCCCAAAAATTTTACCATTATTTTTCTTAGCCTTATATTTATTTTGAGATGAGATGAGAAAAAATGACTACATTCATCAGACGACAAACCAGCAATTTAGGCAAAGATGTTAGATGACCAAACTGAAAATTAATACTGCCATCACCCCATATAACTCTACAAAAAATGTCAACGTTTTACTCAATTTACTCATAAAAATTGGCCTGGAAAACTGAAGAAAGTTTTTGTGCCAAAATTGCATGAAAATCTAAAAAATATTCCAAACCCCGAACCATTAGCGTGGTAAATACAAGTCCCCCTAGTCACTCAGCCACCACAGTCCCCTATTTTTTGTATAATTTATTTTCTATATTTCATTTCTCTAAATTAATAATAAAAAAGCCATAACTTTTTATGATTGTTTTCTTCAGTTTATGGTTAATTTTCTACTGACAATGAGACTTTGAGTCAAAACGCTTTACTTATTAACAAAATCAAACTAGAACTATTTGTCAAACTACAGAATTAGAGGAAATTTCAAAACTTTATGAAGAACTGGGACTTTTTAGCCAAAAATACATTTCAAATTAATACAGTTTTTACTAAATTTTTATTAAATTAACCTCAAAGGATAAATAATATGAACTGTGTGAAAATAATTTTTTTTTTTTCTTTTCGTTTTAGAAGGCGTTAAAGTCTCCCAGCTTCTTCCATTGCCGGCACGTACGATATTCTCAATTCTGTACCGCCCGTTGTAATCTTTTATTTTTTATTTATTTATTTTTAGTTCACTCGGAAATATATTTTTATTTTATTCCCCGCCGACTCATGGGCCGTTACCAGAACTGAAACCAATTTAACCGGGGCGAACAAATAGAATAGACGTCGTCCGTCCGATTTCCTTTAGGATCTTTTGAGTTGTAACGGTCGAAGAAAGTCTGTTCGGAGAAAATGGAATGACAATTAAATTTTGCCTTTTCTTTCGCTTAGTTTACGTCATGAAACTGGCATCTTTCGTCATTTACGCCCATCAGCTTCTTCCTACGCCAAAACCAACCATGGGTGGCAAGAGTGGGCGTGAGGTAGACGTAATATCGCGATCTGGATCAATAAAACAAATATGCAATTCGGTTTTTGTAAAAATCAACGATCACGAATCTGTTAATAAATCAAAATAAATAACTGTTCCTACAAGAAATTATTACTCCATTATTATATAAAATGATATAAATAGTCCATTGATCAAAACATCAAACAGATACTAATGATTTATTCCAACCAACAATAAAATCTTTAATCGTTATTAAAAAAACCAGTAGATGGTCCCTGAACGGGCAAGAAACAACAGTAAATAAAGAAAAAATAAAATATTCAACTTTAATAAAAAAAGCAGTATAACACATGTTAAACTGAGAGGGTTACTAGCCTCGATTTTTCAAATCTCAAAATCTATCCTTCGGGAATTCCACTCGGAGATCGTTATACAGTCAATATGGTGGGAGGTAGACCCTGGAACACGTCACCTTCCATTGAAATATTAAAGGGGAAATAAATACTAAAGGGAAAATATTTATATTCAGGGGCAGCGAAGTTGCACATTCTTGCAGGAAATGTTAAATTTTTGCAATATAAACTTTTTCCTGCCGGCCATTTTCTAATGGCGTCTGGTAGATACATTGGAACGGATCGATTTACACGATTTAAATGAATTTGAAAAACAAACACTTTGAACCTAAAGTGAGTATTATTGGTAGTTTTTTAACATCATGGACTCGCTGGTTTGGTTTTTGAGGCACGTTTTAGCATTTCTAGTGATGGGTTTACAATAATTTAATCAAAGTATATTATGGAATTGAAGATATCAATTTTGAACGTTTGAAAATCCCAGCAGCGAGAATAGGAGAACCAAATGATCGGGAACGACGTCGTGAAGAACTCGCACAATTCACGTTTCTGTAAGTGAACAGTAGCCTCGAAACGATTAATTTTTAGTTAAATGAGACTTATTGTTGCAAACCCACCACTAAAGATGGCAAACAACGCGTCTGTCACACGAAACCGGCAAGAGTAGACCAACCAACAAGGATGATCGGACCAAACCAGGTTCTTCACCCCGCATATTTCAGCAAGAACTCTCACCTTTCAAGTTTATTTACAAGAACACTTTTATCAAAACGATTAAGTGATTATTTCAAAGATATACGAAGGGACTATTATAAACTGGAGAGGAAAAATAGACTAGTGCCTTCATAGTTTGCTACATAAAAAAAGAATGAAATTCGCTTTAAATCATACAAATTAGACCTAAAATTTTTATAATCCCTTGATCAAAGGGTTCTGGAAAAAAGCGAAAAGCGCACAATGCTTATTATAACTTCTTTACGCTTGCATTCCAAGTCGTTAGAAAAGAACGATAGTCTATAAAATTAATTCGCACTTTTAACAGTGTTACAAAGGCGAATTGTAAGTAATTCGGGTCACAATAACGTTATCGGGAATACATCTGCATTGGAAACAAAGGCTTTTCATACTCGGGCTATTTATTATACATTGTCTTCTTTTCATAGTCGGATCTGACAATGTTTTAAGACATAAGGGCCATCAACAAGCTTCTTTTTTTAAAATGAACTTTGGCCATTGGCTTTCATTGGCACGTGTCTTAACTGCTGTACAATTTACAATCAACAATTTCATCTGATCTCATTCGAACATATCATGTCATCGAAGGCGACCATATATTTCGATGACATACAAGTACGTCTAAGCTAGTAAAGTTACGAGAATAGATTGATAAAAGTTACATTGTTTCTCTTTTAGTCAGGTGTGAAGATTTTAGATGAACATATCCATCACGAAAAAAGTAGAGAAATCTAATGCGGAAGAAAATAGGGAGCTGTAAGGTACCTAGGCCAACGAACACGAATGACCTGGACCAGAACGGCCGTAAACAAGAAGAAATTCTTTCATAACGCATATTTATATTTAATAAGTAGTGTCCATCCTTGCGAATCCATTGAATATCCGCTTTTTATTGTAATCTATATTTTACCATTATATTCGGTTAAAAAGTGGGAAATGTGTATCATTGCTCTCCCCGTTTTGTCGGGCTCGTACTATTGCCAAATTGCTCCTTAGGCCAGAAATCTTTAGTCCGTTTTTAATTGATTTTTTTTCATTCTTGTAGTTTGTATTTTTATTTATTTATTACACTTGATATTTTTTGCATAGATTACACGTCAGATATATTATCACACAAAAAGACTTTCAAGAAATAACACATAGTTGACGCACTGATTATAATCATGAAGGCCTACGGATTTGTTTTTTGCTCAGAAAGGCAATTTTTGACACTTATATACAGTATTTCGCAAAATTACATATTCCGAAATTTAACTTTGTGATTTTTCGTTATTGATTTTCAATGACAAATAATTTTACAAAAGTTTTCAATAAATCGTGTGTAATTTTCGAGAAAACAACAAATACAAGGGTTTTTCCATATGGAAAGTGCGCTTATGGGTCCCCTTCTTAATGATTGTAGTTTAACTTAAAGTATACACCGATGTCCATCTAGCCGTTTGTATCATTTTGAAGAGGACATCTAGACTCACCACGTTTAAAAAATTTCAACTGGACAGTCCCTACTAAAGGGAATAGGAATATTTCAGGTTTTGTTTACAACCGCTAATTACAATCATTATGATTTATTATGAAAAATGTTTAATAACAAATTGAAAAAATTGTATGCTAAATAAGCAAGGTATTTTGAGATAGTAAAGTAAGGTAGCATTTTTATTCGGAGCTTGAATTATTTTATCCATGCATTTCTTAAAATATTGGGTTATTACGTACGTTCGTAGCAATTTTCTTTTATTAATTTTTATTTTTATTATCGTTTAAACACTAAAAAGGTTAAGGTGTTTTATTGGACAGTTTCGTTTAAGATCTCATACTTTTACAAGGTGTTATGCTAATTTAGAGTTGAAGAAAAAAAATAGCGCATTTTCCTCATTTAATGTTTTTTTACTACTGCAAAGAGAAAACCGCTTCTCAAGCTGCTAGGAATATATGTGATGTTTATGATGATGAACTGATGATGCTTTAGGAAAACGCACCATCCGTTGATCGCTCTTGTTAAAAATAAATTTGTTTTCACGGACCAGATATTTTTATTGAATTTACCATCAAAAAAGCTAGGGATTTATTTTAAAACCCGATATTTTCAAAAATATTGCTAGCTATCCCAAGAAAGTTAGGAAAAGTTAAATTTTGACACTTTCCAAATATTTTTATAATTAAATTTAATAATAAATGAAAACGTGAAAAATGTTTCACAGTTAAAGAGAAAAAAATATATCCAAAATTTAATTGTCTATCATTTAAACATCATTGTTTGAACTATAAATAATAACTTTTAGTTTACTACTTAACTGGGACATGAAAAAAATAAATCAAAATTAAGTCAATAATCGATGAGAACTTCCTAGAATTTCTTCAAAATTAAAAGGTACTGCAATTACAATTTTAAAATTGTACCGAATGTGTTTATAAGAATACGTAAATATTTATTTATTGTATATATATGTCATTGTAAAATTAATGGTCGGTCTAGTAAGGCGTTTAAAAAAATAAAATAAATAATATGAAAATTAAATTCCTATTTTAATTTAATAAAAACATAATTTAAATTTGATTTCTTAAAATGACAACACTAATTTATTTACTTTTTAATGTTTGTTTTCAACAGTTATGGTTAATTTTGATAAAATAACTAATCAATCGATTAAGTTGATAACAAATTAAAACGCGGAATATTCATTCAAATAAAAAGTAAAAAAAAATACCAATTGTATTTATAAAAAAGTCCATTTAAACATTATTATTAAAACTAATAGAGTAATTAATGATGTTATTACTTGTTGTTTGTTTTTCTCGGTTAAATTTGAACACTTTTCAATGAATATTCGTCAAAATTCATAACGTATTTGTTTGAATTGAACATGTTATGTTATAAGAATAAAACCTCCGTTAAACCAATTTTATTATTTACAGTGCGCCTTCATTTTAAATTCTGTTTGAGGTAGTTGTAATCTCCCGGTCATTTGGTATGAAATGCTGCAGCCAGGGCGAAGGGTTTGATTCCTAGGTACTCTAGTTGTTACTCTAGTGAGTTGATGCTTCCACAGGCAATATGCCCCACTCAACTTTTACAAAAGATAGGAATGGTTAATCAGGAAGGTCTATGAGGAGGGCTACGCAGTATGAGCCTTCCTTCTGTTTAGAACTCTTTTAGAGTCAAATATGGACTTCAGTGTTTTCGGCTGCAGTGACTCTGGATTGCATCTCTGTCAATTGGTGGCTGTTCAAGCTGAAAGGAGTATTGTTATTTCTCAATTATTTGCCCGGGTTGAGGAAGCACCAGCTCAGGAAAAAATGTTATATGTGCAATTTAAATGCCAGGGAGGACCTTCATCATTTCCTTTGTGAATGCCATCTACTGGCTGAATTTCCCCAAAGGCCTAGGAATAACCCCAATAAGAGAGTTTAACTATTAATTTTGTAACTCTGTTGTTAAATTAGTGCATTGGTATTTTTTTTTTTTGAGATTAACTACGTATTAAAGCGAATTAAAGAAAAGGGCACGAATTTGATTTTAGATTATTATGTTTACTTATGTATTTCTTTTTTATTGTTAATTGAAATTTGAAATCCCCTTTGATATAACCATTGTAAAATAAATTAAATTATGCTGTAATTAAACTAATTCTAAACTCCAGCAGGCGGCTTTTTGCCATGCTTGAAATTTATTGTAAGTATGGTGTTTTGCAAACCATTACTTTGTTAGTAATAAATGTTTTCTTCTTCTATGAACAATAATACAAAAACAGACACGACAACATGGTACAATTAATTTTCGAAATGTTGAGCCTAAAATGTGTAATGTCATGCGTTTAATAAACTTTATTTCTCCTCGCCTTCGCTGTCGGCATTTGTCATTAATCAAAAGTTAATTAACTTTTCTCCTCAATCCTTCTTCCAATCTATCCTAAGAAATTCGTTTTTACGACGTTACAAATAACATAAATAGGGTTGTTTAAATCTAAACTGAGTTTTAATATAAATTAGGACAAAACGAATATTTTTTGCTCAGTCAATATTTATGTTATATAAAGGAGAAATTAATTTGTGTCATTCCTCAACCGTTGTCTAAAATATAAACTGTCGGTAGTATAACAAAGAATGAAATATAGAAAGATAAATTTCAACATTTATTATTATTTATTTAGTTTTAGAAGAAAGAGGAATTCTCTAACATTTTGGTTCAAACAACAGTTAAATCATACCCTTGAAATTCGCCTCGCGTTTCTTTTAAAACAAAGGTTTTGTTAAAGATTCGTTACAGTCATTGTGATAACAAAGTGGATCTATAATATTGTTAAAAATGTAACCATGACGGTACAGCCAGGGGCGATTTTTACGTTTCAATATCCTCTTGTTATTCTAAAATACGAAATGAAAGCTTTCCTGTTGAAGTTGGTAAAGGTATTTAACATCTCGGTTATAACTGTTAAATATGGGTCCGCAATGGTGAAAGTAAGTGCTTTCACGTCCAGTCCTGACGCCGGTCTTTTACTTCCAGCCGGTTCTTTAAAGGAGTTCCTTTTAATTCTCCGAGACCTTTCGCCAAAGGAGATCTCCGGTAAATAGAGAGCAAAAGAGCCATTACGTTCCATGATCTTAGAACGGGGTCAAGATCCATGTTTCTTTCTCCGTCCTTGCCACGACAACATTAAAACGTAAAGTCAATTTGGGGCGAGATTAAAAATTTCATGCATCAGTAATTAAATAGTAATGAGAGCAGTGCATTAACTAACGTCTCCTTCTGCGCGTACTCACGTGTCATATAATTTTCACTTTTTCAAAACTGAATATTGATTATTTTATTTGAATTTAACAACTTAAAGTACAGTAGAATACTCGCCCCTTTGCGTTCGCCGCAACTAGGGTCTGGTACAGGAACAACACCCACAGCAGCAGCATGGCAACAGCTGTGGCGATACCCCTGAAACAAATAATTAACAATTTTAGTTATACATAGACTGATTTGTAGTATATTTTAAATTTTAAAAACATTGATGTGTCGAAAACTTGTTACATTCAAACCCACATATATCTACAATTTGATCATACCGGAAATACTATATATATTTTAAAACTAAACTATTTATTTTTAAAAACTATGTATTTTTAAACTACCTCCTCATACTCTTTTCGAGGTGATTTAATAATTCCAATCATCTTGGACTGCCGATCCTTGCTGGGTGGACTTGTCGTCATTTCGTCATCTTCAGCATGTCTGTCTGTCCTACCGCCCCAACGAGGATAGCAAAACCAAAGGACCAAATTATTCATTACCTCGCAGGGCACAGAACGAAATTTCACAAAGAAATCTAATGTTTATATTTTAAAAAATGCTTTTTTATGGGAAGTTTTCTTTTGTAGCAAAAACGATTAAGTTATTAGCTCAATGAGATATTCTGTAGTAAAGTCACCACTGGAGATGATCAATCGTCAGAGCAAAAAAGCAAGAAAGGGAGACTAGTATGATCGGAAAAGTTCATCAACCCGCATACCGCAACAAAAACACACGTATCAAGTTTAAAAGAACATGCTTCTATTTGTCCCAAAAAAAACATTAAAGTATTAGCTCAATGATATATTTTGTTGCAAAATAAACCACTGAAGATGGCGAAATGCTCCTTATAGTCCAAATTAACGAGAATAGACGGACCAGAGAAACAAAGCAATTATGATTATGGTGATTATGTCCTACTCTTCTGTACGTTTGATAAAGAACGAAGTTTGGACAAACTTTTCTTTTAAAAATAACTGAAGTTTTTGATCGTGTGATGATTATGATCCTTCAAAGATCCTTGTCTCATTTATTCTCCATCTAAATAAACAACGTCTACTAATTTAAACTTCGTGTAACATTTTATTCACGATCTGACAAGCCAAACCCACAAGGAAGGCAAACTAAGATGATCGGAGAGGGCCAAACAAATAATTGACTAGAATAATATCAATATAATATTTCCTTTCATCATTGTTCATGGTCATATTTGACTAAAATTTTTTGAAATTAGTCTAAAATCTTTTGGAAAAAATAAACGACCTGATTCTGTGAGGTTTATGATCCTTAAACAGATCTAGGTCTTTTTATTCACCATAAAAATAAACATCGTATACTAAATTAAACTTTGTATAATCTTTGGCTAACACTAAATATCAATCATGACATCTGGTTTTTTTCACAATTTTAGTAAATATTTAAAGTTATTTTAATAGTTTTTGAAGACTGCTTTGTGCTTACGTTAAATTTTATAAGTGAACATTTTAGTTATCAAACTACATATTCTGTTAGGCTAACAACTGAACCTTTGTACTCATTGTCGTGAAGAAATAATAAATATACCTAAACTTGATAATGTATAAATTTATAGTTATATATAAGTAGAAATCTATAGGTTAAATGTGCAAAATAATTTTTCAAATAACAAAAAGGTGTACATTTCAAATATATATCGGATAAATAAAAAACGGACAAAGAGAGATGAAGAGATTGGTCTTGTGCGTGGTACGAAGTCTTTCTCAAAGCTGCAATGGATTTCTGCCTTTAAGGATCCGGTTTGATTCCACTTCCCACTTACAACGGACAGGAAACACATGACTTGTGGCGTCCAAGGTTCCAAGGTTAGTTTTTAACATCTCTCGGCAATTAAAGCGCCTCTTTCACCTGCCGTGCACTAAAGGGTGCAAAGATGAAAGTGCAGGTGCTATCAGAAAAGCAATTAGCTACGCAACGCTCGTTCTAGGCACTACGCATCGCTGCAGCGCGCCCTCCTTTTCATCCGACAGTACTTTTACTGTTTTTCATTAAATTAAATATTCCACTTACAATTCGGTAAAACGAAGAATCTTTCATATGACTATAGATAGATAAACTAGATCCTGTGGGTAGATTTTACGTCATCTTCCCACATGGATTAACAAAGATGACCGGTAAAAAACAAGTACGACTGTTACCCAATTCTGTTGTGTTTTGACGTAAAGACTCCTCGTTTATTTGACTGAAGGATATCCTCTATTGGCTCTTGGCTCTTATTTCCACTGAGGCCCTTTCCATGTTGCGATAGTATCACGTATTTTAAACGTAATTTCCGTCTCTAGACTATGCCAACGAAGCAAACAGTCAAACTCCACTTAGTAGTTTGAAGGCAATCGATCACATCCGACTACATGCATGCCAATCGTCTTCAACCAGGCATATCAGAAAATATTATCGTTTGATCGGTCCGCACTTCCTCAAGTGTAAAAGGATTGGCCAATATAAATGCAAATCTTAATTCGCAAAACAAAAAGAAATCAACTAAAACCGTTCTTAATAATGCTTTCAATTAAATTACGACGTATTAAGTATGAACCTTTCGACGTTTTCATAGTTTTCTCTGATTAAAAACCCACTTTCATGTTCCGGTCTACTTGACCGAGGGAGCGGAACACGCCGAACAATCCTTCCGTTTATTTTTACGCCGATCGTAGGGAGTCGGAAACGCTTGGGCGATTTACCGCGTTCCTCTAAAAAAGAAGAAAAAATTGACAGCCCAATAAATTAACTCTTCCAAATCCAAGAGGATAACACGGTTCCTGTTGATGTGAAACCGCCTGTTACGGTTCACACGATGGAAACCAATTTTGAGAAAAAAAATAGGTATAACAAATAAAACAAGCATCTTGATACTAAGTAATAAACTAATATGGGCCATGAATTATAAAATTGTTTACAAAAGTCGATAGAGGTAGATTGGTTCCTAATCCTAATCCAGCAAACAGCGTTTAAAAACGACGTATTTTAAAGACATAAATCTAACTCCAACATATGCTACAAAACATATAAACCAAACAAATCCGACGAATCTTTTTAAATACATTTTTCATCATCAGAAAGAAAGAGAGAAAGAATAAAAGATAGATAGATAGAAAGGAAGAAATAAAGAGATAGATAGATAGAGAGAGAGATAGAGAGAGAGAGATAGAGAAAGAGAAAGAAATAGGAGAGGGAGAGAGAGAGAGAAATAGGGGAGGGAGGGAGGGAGGGAGAGAGAGAGAGAGAGAGAGAAATAGGAGAGAGAGAGAGAGAGAGAAATAGGAGAGAGAGAGAGAGAGAGAGAAAAGGGAGAGAGAGAGAGAGAAAAGGGAGAGAGAGAGAGAGAGAAAAGGGAGAGAGAGAGAGAAAAGGGAGAGAGAGAAAAGGGAGAGAGAGAAAAGGGGAGAGAGAGGGAAAGAGAGATTAGATAGATAGATAGATAGATAGATAGATAGAAAGAGAGAGAGAGAGAGAGAGAGAGGGGAGAGAGAGAGAGAGTATTTGTTTTCAATTCCATTACAATTACTCTGCAATGTAGTATTTTATTTTGAACCTGTTCTTGTAAATTATAGCTTTTCACAAATACATAATTGCGTTTATGCTATCTTTTTATTACGCTAAGGATTATACCAGAGATCAACCACACGTTTTATTCACAAAACGAATTTCCGAAGTCCGAAGGAATTTAATAAAGCAGAGAAGTATTTATTGAAATTAGTGTTCAGGTAAGAGTGAGAGTGTGTTCCCTAGAGAATTCATCATTGCCTGTTATATAATCAAATTATATTTGCTTCGGTGTCGAATCATTAATTTATCAATATTAAAAATTCCATTTCCATGTAAACAAAATAGTTGTAGTATGTAAATGTAATATTACAATAATTTACTCTTACTAAACAAACCCATTCAGTTAAAAAATCCCAAGAAATGTAAGCATTCACATGTGATTCACACACCTCCAACCTTGGCTGTAAAAAACCTTCGAATTCTCCCATCTGGGAACTACATAGTGTTTACGTACAATCAGTGGTTTTGACAAATTTATTTCACTATATATCAAATAAAAACATAATGCTATTAAAAAAATCTATTGCGCTTTTTGATTACATAGTGTTTATGTACGTACAAATCCTGAAATAACTAAATACTTCCAAGTTTTTCTTTTATGATTACGAACGCTATTTAAAATTTTGTTACCGGGAAGCAAGCCAACACTGAGAAAAATTTCCAACTTCAACCATATCCAACTAAGTGTTAATACAGTTTTAAAATAATCTGTTTATAACAGATGTTAGAAACTCTTTTTATCACTGAGTTATAACTTTCGTCCTTCATCCACAAATACATACACGATAAATAAATACACCCATACCCCATAAATGATTTCAGTAGAAGAATTTTCTTGGAAAAAAATAGTGCATAGTCGAAAAACAATACTAGCGTAAATTAGCAGTTTTACATTTAATTTTATACTTATGCATTTGAATTTATAAATAGTTTATATTTTTCACATTTACAACACGATATTTCATAAAAACTGCGGATTAATGTACTAAAGCCTAGTCGATTGTTAATTCCAATTACACTACCAGATCTTACCCAATATTATCATTTAACTTCATACATTCTCTAATTAATTGAATTAGAGATAAATGCCTGATGGTGATCAGGCTAAAGTGAGGAAGGAATCGATTTTCAATTTACCTAACGTCAAGCACATGCCACCATTGCCAACTTCTTTATAAGGAGTACGACGTTTGACCAAGACCTAGATTCCCCCTCTGGTATTTTCCTGATATATTACGAGGAAGTGCCTGTCATTGAAAAACCCTTTGCGAGTCGTAGCTATGTTTGTAAAGCTTGATCGTTTCGAATCCTAATCCGTACATTTTCGCTCGCTTGGCCCGTCAGGCGTGTCTCGCCAATTGCGTCATCCTTAGTGATATCTAAGTTTACAAAGAACGCGCTTAGTACGTGTACAGAATCTTAGAAAAAATGGCGTTGGAACATCTGTTTGATAGGCAAACCACTTAAGAATAAATGCCGAAACTTTTCTGAAAGTCAAGAAGGTAGATCGACGAACAAAAATACTAACATATTTATGAAAAAACAAAATGGAAATAACTTATATATAC